TGGTCGCCATGTTGAAACATGTCTNGCTGTAGTGCTGGTGGCAATCCGGGAGGGTTGTCGAAAAGTCCTTCAAAAGGGAGCCTCTTTGGCTGACAGTGACTCAAGTGCGATACGGCTCGAACGGGTGGCTCGTCCAGGGGAACGAATTGCGACGACACCTCAGACGGCGGAACAGGCACACACGCTGCGGGGGGAGGGGCTGCAATGGAAAGCCATTCATCGCTTTCTGCCGGGATGTGGAGGATCCAGACTGACATCAGATTGTTTCCGGCAGGCGGCTTCTTACGGCAAAATACAACAAATTTCCGGCAGGCAATACATAATGTATGGGGGGAAAGACCCGCGCTGCGTAACGATCAATTGACCTAAGGAATTTGGGAACCCCTCCGTCCGCAAAGTGGGAGGAGCAGTTCCCACCGAGATTGACATCGATCCGACCTTGACATTAACCCGGCCAGCTTTGGAAGCTATCTGAATGTCGCAAAGGTTTTCCGCCTGTCTGCAACCATGTTGGCGGCACCGTGGTTATGTCGGAGTTGCGCCCATTCGTTAAGGCGCTCGGGTGTCTTCGTCTCTCTTCAGCTTCGCAAAGCTAGCACAGGTGTGTACGCAGCATCCCAAGTGGAAGCATTTTTTCCTCCAGATTCTGATCGCAAGCCGTGGAATCCAATCTGCCGAGGGACACCTTCTGACGCGTCTCTTGTTGAAGCCAGCCAACCACTCGCAGGACTCCCACCTGTCCTCCTCGACCGAGCGCGAAAACTAGCCGCTGAGCACAAGCAATTGACGAAGCAACTCGAGAGCGAGTACGAGCCTACAGCCGCGAAGCGCGCCGGCGAAATCTCAAAAGTTGTCGCTGCCCTACAAGAGCTGGACAAGGCCAAGTCAGCACTGGATGAGCTCAATGGACTTCTGGAGTCAGACGACGCCGAGCTACGCCAGCTTGCTAACGACGATCTCGATGCAACCAAAAAGCACCTGGAAACTCTGGGGCTCAATCTTTCAGCAACCCTGACACCGAAGCACCCGTTTGCAGACATGCCATGTTTGATAGAACTCCATCCTGGGCCAGGAGGCACTGAAGGGCGCCACTTCGCCGACACCCTTTTCCGCATGTACCAGAAATATTGCGAGAACAAGGGATATTCTGCGCGGGTGATCTCGTACCAGGAAGCCGAAGACCGTACGCCAGGCTTGGACGGTGAGGTTCCCATCTCGGAAGCCATCCTCGAAGTAACAGATCCCGGCGCCTTCGCAGCGTTCCGCGGAGAGGCGGGTATGCACCGCGTGCAACGTATTCCTGCGACCGAGAAGCAGGGACGCACTCACACAAGTGCAGTGGCAGTTTGGGTTTTGCCATCATTCCCCGAAAACAGCACCGATGCCGAGAACGACTTCAACAACCCGGAAAGTGACTTCTACGTTGATCCGACAGAAGTCAAATCAGAGAAGATGCGCGCGAGCGGTGCCGGCGGTCAGCACGTCAACAAGACAGAATCTGCTATTCGGCTGACCCATATCCCGACCGGTATCCAGGTCAGCATGCAAGATTCGCGATCGCAACAGCAGAACAGAGAAAGGGCTTGGCGCTTGCTGCGTTCGAGGATTGCGTCGCTAAGGCGAGAACAGAGAGAGGCGCAGGCAAAGGACCTGAGAGACAGTGTGCTGTCTCAATCACAGATGTCGCGCGGTGATAAGATCAGGACGTATAACTACCAGCAGGACCGGTGTACAGATCATCGGAGTGGGCTGGATGTCCACAATCTCCCCAATGTCTTACAAGGCGGGGAGGTGTTGGACAAAGTCATCAACAGCGTGCAATCATGGCTAACAGCCATGGATATCCGAAACCTCATCGCTCAGGAAGAGGCGCAGGCTAGAGGAGCGGTGGGAGGATCTGATAAAAAGAAAAAAGGCGGAAAGTAAGGCCGAGTTCGGGGCGCATCTGAAGACGTCATACTCACCGCGCGCTACAAATACCAGCCACACACACATACATACACACACACAGGAGCCTGTGAATTTGTGTATGGCGGGTTTCTCTTTTTCCATCTTTTTTTTTCGTGTAAAATACCCCTTCGCAACCAAACCACGGCTGGTCAGAATACCGACTCTATTCGATCGGGTTGGATCCCTTCGCGCAGTACCGCCTGGTCAAGCTTGATTTGCGCGGCGTCAACCCTCGTTGGAACACTTACCAGCCCGGGAGCATAACCATCTTCATCAAGGGTCCAGGAACCTCGACACGGCACCGCGAGTTTGTACGATCGGCACCGTTGACAAAATTGAGCGAGCGATGGACAGGGGCCGGAGCAGACGTTTTCCGTTGACCAATCATTGCCCCAGACTTGTAAGTGACCTGCCATATTGGGATGGTGGCGGCCGTTGTGGACCGCCGCCGTGCAGTGTGCAGCATGCCCGGCGCTTCCTGAGCGTGGGGAACATTTCCATGGACGGACAAAGATTCATTCTATCGCAAGTCGCAAGTGAAACGCTGAAGTTGCATTCTGCCATTGAGATGACCCGAGAGACGGAGGAAAACCAGATAGTCATCCCCCTGTCGCCAACTGCCGACGGAAACACAGCGAACCGATCGATAAACGACCCGGGATTCGGAACCGTAGGTTTTCGATCTTTTGACTTCTTTTCTGTCCTAATGTAATTCTGCGCGAAATTCAGTCGACTTCGCCATCGTCTGGGACCGTCCGGGACCGTCCGCATCTGCTCTGGAGAAGTGAGTCTTTCTTTGCTCCAATGTTCCGTGTCCCTTGCCTGCGCCGCGGGACGGAGCTATGGTATTCCAAAGAATATTGGGGATGAGGTAACGTACTTCATGTACTTACCAGGGATTGATGCGTACTCGATGACTCCAACAAAATGTGTGTGCTTCGTATTGGCTGATATCTCGGCAGCCCGGCTTTTTCATCGGGAGGTTGACGCAGTTCATTTCATCCTGGGCTGCCATTATCACCAACATTGCATTTCTTCAATAGTATGGCCGTCTCATCAACGTAGGCTTTCCATATCTTCTCTCTCCCTCCCTCGACTCGTTGATTCCAAGGTATGATGACGAAAATGCCCACTACCACACGGCGCACGTAACCCACCCCTCCCAAGATGCTGCACCAACGACACAATCAAACCTGCTGTGCAAGTCCGAGATCAGATGGTGCTACTTACTGGTCTGGTCCTGTCAACTTTTCTGTCTGACATGCGTGCCACTGTCTGCATGCCCATCCTACCTCAGTCGTGCCTCGCGACCAACAGCCTGGCTTTGAATTGCTTATATCCCAACATTTACAGAAATGGTGGTATCTCCATTTCCAGGACGGGTAGGTACTTCGGTATAGAGGAGAGGACGGGAACAGGATACACCGTGGGATTACAAGCAAACGTTGTGCGTGACAGACCGGGACCAACCACCCTTCCAAGCCTCATCCTCCTGTGACTTGTCCTCCCAACAGCGTTGATGCTTGAGGGATACCATGGACAGAGCTGGAAAGTGCAAAAAACCCATTGGACCTTTTGCTCCTCATTCTTTCTGTCATAACAGCATCATCAAATACCAGAGGGACCAAAAAAAAGTGTCATCGGTTAAGCCTCTCGATATCCGAACCGTGAAAGCTCACAGTAGCACCGACAAGAATGGAGGCGGTCTCGGAAGAAGGCTATTATTTGCCATGTCAGCGCGGAAGCTAGGCAGGGCGGAGTGGAACTCCAGCCTCAGATCACTTCCCTTTTCTGTTTAAACTAGGTGAAATTCTGATCTACACACACCATCCCTCGTCGATTCCCAAGACTATCGTTGCTTCCGTTGGGAACTTCAGGAACGAAGTAACTCAAAAGGAGGAAGCTCTGTTCTTGCCGGTCTAGTACTTCATGGTGAAACGCCCCCCCTCCCTGCCTCACTTGTAAAACCTCTGGATTTTTTCTTTTTCTTATCACCACCATCCTTCACCCTCTTCTTTATACTGCACGTGCCTCTTTCTCAGTTGTTGCTCGAAAGAAGCTGTCAGCACAAGATGCGTCTGACTGCACTAGTCTCGTCGCTACTCTTAGCGACAACTGCTACCGCTGGCGGTCCTAGCTTTGGCCAGGCTGAGAAGAAGTACCTAGAACATGTTGCCAACAGACTCAAGAACCACGCTGCGAAGGTCGAGGCTGCCCCGGCCGTCGAGCGTGATGTTGCTAAAGTTCAAGAACCCAAATTCCTGAATGACAACACCACAAGTGAGTTTTGATTCACTTTGAACGCAGCTCTACTCATCAACTGACATGCATGAACGCAGGGTTTGCCGTCGACGGGAAGAACATTCCTGATGTTGACTTTGATGTGGGAGAGTCCTATGCTGGCACCTTGCCCATCAGCCAGGACCCCGAGGAGAAGAGCGAGCTTTTCTGGTGGTTCTTCCCATCTACGAACCCCGCTGCTAAGAAGGAGATCCTGATATGGCTCAACGGTGGTGTAAGTTCACCCTTATCAAGCCCCCAATATGAATACATCCGCCTAACAAACTATACTTCCATAGCCCGGCTGCTCCTCACTGGAAGGTTTCCTCCAAGAAAACGGCCCGTTCCTCTGGCAGTATGGCACTTATAAGCCCGTCAAGAACCCCTGGAGCTGGCACACCCTGACCAACGTCATCTGGGTCGAGCAGCCCGTCGGCACCGGCTTCTCTACCGGCAACGTCACAGCCACTAGCGAGGAGGATGTCGCCGCTCAGTTCATGGGTTTCTGGAAGAACTTCATCGACACCTTTGCCATGCAGGGCTACAAGGTGTACATCACCGGCGAATCCTATGCCGGCCTCTACTGCCCCTACATCGCCTCCGCCTTCCTCGACGCCAATGACAAGACCTACTACGACATGTCCGGCCTGATGATCTACGACCCCGTAATCTCGTGGGACGAAGTCGCCGAGCAGGTCCCTGTCGTCCAGTTCACCGAGTACTGGTCGGGACTCTTCCCCTTCAACGACACCTTCCGGGCGCACATCAAGTCGGTCGACGCCAAATGCGGCTATTCCGACTTCGTCTCGCAGTACCTGGTGTATCCGCCTAAGGGCCTACAGCCCTCCAAGCTGCCCGGTACCGATAAGACCGGCACCACGCGCGACGAATGCTGGGGACTGTTCTACGAGATCTTCGACGCCATTTTGCTGTTGAACCCGTGCTTCAACATCTACCAGGTGGCCACCACCTGTCCCCTGCTGTGGGACGTGCTTGGGTTCCCGGGATCGATGGGGTACCTGCCCGAGGGTGCCAAGGTGTATTTTGACCGAGACGACGTCAAGAAGGCAGTCCACGCCCCTGAGACCGTCAAGTGGTCCAGTTGCTCGGAGCAGAACGTGTTCGTGGGCGGACGTGACCGGTCGGAGCCGTCGAGCTTCCATGCCTTGCCGCATGTCATCGATGCGACCAAGAACGTGATCATCGGCCACGGCGCGCTGGATATGGTCCTGATCGCCAACGGCACCCTCCTGGGCATCCAAAACATGACTTGGGGCGGCAAGCTCGGGTTCCAGAACAAGCCCGACCAACCGTTTTATGTGCCGTACAACACCATGACGGACCTGTCGACGCTGGCGGCCGGCGGCGTGTTCGGATCCATGGGCAGCGAGCGAGGCTTGACCTGGGTACAGATCGACATGTCGGGCCACATGGTGCCGCAGTATGCGCCGTCGGCGGCATACAGGCAGCTAGAGTTCTTGCTGGGCAGAGTCAACTGCTTGAACTGCACGGTCCCGTTCACGACGAACCCGGATGCGCCGCAGAGCCAGCAGCCTTTGGGCGAGGGGACGGCGCCTCAGAGCTGGAGTCAGTTCCCGGGTAAGACGGGAAAACAGCATGGAGGTGGAAGAGGCAGGTTCGTCAGGTGAAGGGGGCGTAATGGTGATGAAGGTTATGATGGATGAAGTGTTTCGATACCAGTCGGCGAATGAGGAGAGATTCAAAACGATCAAAATTTTTCTCTATGTTGCGCTGGAAACCGGTCAGCACGTTGTGGAAACGGAACTTTGCCAGAAAACAAGATTGATAAGAAATGCTGAACCGTAATGCATCACGCTTGTGTTGTAACGTCGTCAACGTCTTCATCATGTCTCCTTTTCGATTTCCTTTCGCACGATCAGTTCTTAGCCTTCCGTCAAGACCTATACGATATACATACACAATACACATCAGTGAGACATTCATTGTTAAAACCGTTTCTTTTCCATAACCAATACCAACACAGAGAGAGTGGAATAAAATAACACATAGGGTACACGCAGTCCCCTCATTCAGTTGGCTGACGCCGTAGTTGCTGGCCCCCTCCTTCACAAACTTCAAGAATGGGTACGCGGGTATATGCTCGCGTGTGAGCGTGTCGTGAGGATGACTTCCCTCATCGTATGCGACCCAGTGACAACACAGAACCTTACACCAACGCCATGCTAAAATCAACGACATATGTTGTAGTGTACAACGCGACACCAAGAAAGACAGCGCACAGAGATTGTGGCCTAACTCGTCTTGCGGTGCCGTGGAAAAAATGCGTCTTTCGTCCGCGTACTTCCACCGGACTTCCTTGCCCAGATTGAGCAGAGGACAGGGTCGGATGCGTCTCGGTGATACCCAATGATGGACAAAGACGGTGGCAAGGGCAAGTAAACATATCATAAGCTTTGGCAAAGGCCCCGGAGCACGACCGAAGGCCTAGATGGTCATTATAGCCCTAGCTCGGTAATTCGTTCAAGCCTTCTCCATGTTGCGTTCCCGTGCCATCTTTCTGAGCTCCAGGACGCCCATGATGCCCGACTGGCGAAGTCGCTCGAGAATCAGCTTCATTCCCTCTCGGCTCTTGCCAAGTTGGTCTTGGGTCTTCTTCGACGCCAGGCTCTCGATGCTTCGTTGAATACCATGGGCGCCAAGCCGAGAAAAGAAGCCGCCCTTCTCTTGTTCAACTTCATGTGCGTGCAAGTGACCCAACTTGTCGCGAATGCGCTCCCCAAAGCGAGATCGAAAGACCACCGTCGTGGCAACGTCGGTCGTATTTCCATTCTCATTAGTGCTCGTTGGGATCGTATAGATCTGCTTCTCCACCACCGACAGAACGCCGGCAAAGTTCAGGTTCCGGCTCTCGGTCGACATCCAGCCCTCCTTCATGTCCACAACGCTGGTCTCCATGATATAGGACGCCTTCTCGGTCGTGGCACCGCCCGTAATGCTAGTGGGGAGCATCTTCATGATAGCAGGCGGCATACGCGACTTTTTGAGGTGGATGCGAGTCGTGTGCAGACGGCCGGTGGCCGGGTCGACATGCGATGAAAGGGTGTCGGTGCTCATGACATGCTGAGAAAAGGGATTGAGCTGCGGGGAGCAGTACCGGAGGAAGAAGGCGAGCGTGACGGTCGGGAAAGGATGGCTATAGGTATGGTTGGTAGTGTGCGTGAGAACCATTTTGACCGAGGAAGAGGGTGAAGGATCGTTGCTATTGCCGTATGGAAGATTTCGGTACGTATCGACTTGTCCAGCAATGGGACTATGAAGCGCTCGAGTTTCGGATGACTGGTTCCTAGGGCTGGATGTGTATAGAAAGCACGGTTCGAAGCTAGGTAGGCTCGGGCGGATGGCCGACTCCAGATAGAATTGGTAAATAGCAGTGGCTTGCCGAAACGTGGGGAGTCTGGAATGAAGTCACTGGAGGTGGCGATGTTGTAATCGTGCACGTTGTCGGGACGAATCGTGTGTAGTTATCTGTGAGAAGCGCAGCTCACGATCGCTGGTAAAGAGGTTTTGACATTGGAACGGAGCACGGCCACAGAAAGCTGTCAAATCCTCTTTTCCCAATTGCCGTGGTGCGATGATGGTAGTCTGAAGTTTTAGTACAGAGGTGCTGTAGGCTGTGGTAGGTAGGTAAGGTAGGAAAGTTGGGGAAGGAGGAGCAAAGATGGTTGACGCGGGGCCGGCAGGATTTGTAAACTTGGGAAAAAAGGTACCTGTACTTAGTACCAAGCCAGAGCCGAGAGCGACGGAAAAGCGATGATGAAAGTGACCCGACGACGAACCGACGGGATGGGCCGATGGAGGAGCCACACTCCCGCGGCTAGGTACTAAGTGTAGTTCTAGTGTACCTACAGGGCAGGTAGGTAGGTACGACTGGACCCGATAAATACCGGTACGCTATGCTAACAGGCACCGCTTTTCCACTTTGCGGGAAAGGACTTTACTGTAGCGGCTCTGCAAGTGCAGGGGAAGTGGAAATGGAAATGGAAGCAAGGTGCCCGCTGGGTTCTGTACCTAGAGGTACCTCTAGTGTTCGTAGATGCAGAGTGGAGAATCGTGAAAAGTGTTCTGTCGTGCAGCAGTGCTACAACAATCTCAGAGTCGGGTGGCCAAAGCTGGACGTATAAACAAAGAAAGAGAAAAGAGCCACAGATAAAATGAGGGGACTGTGCAACTCTGACGATCGTGGGCTCATTTTCTTCGAATGATCCAACGATATCGTCGAGCGTCTGGCCATTCTCCTCGCGAGTGTGTAACACGGAACCAAGCTCCCACTGCTCGCTTTTTAACGCAAGAAACATCGTCATCATCATCATCATGCAATCCTCTCCACCTAGCGCAAGCAGCTCCTGCAGCAATGCAATGCGCACTGCACCCTGCGATAACCCGGCCTGAACGTCCTCAATCGTGATATCGAAGGCGAACTGAAGAAAGAACAAACTGGAAAACCAGAGGTAATTTCAAACCCTGAGTGTGTGGTCATACCGACATACTTTCACCGATTTAGTATGGGTGAGTATCATCAAATGTTTGGTACCTTTGCTTCCTTGGGCTTCTGCTGGTGGTGTTTTCCACTGCCAGTCACTGCCAAGCAGTCTTCGGCTGGCCGTCAGTGCCGGGGTGCTTGGCTTAGTCATTTCAAAGAATACATTAGTGTAGGGCACGGGCGCAACTTGAAAAGTGGGGAGGCACCCGTGTCTCGCTTCCTTCAAACGTCCGATGGGCTTTCCACACTACCTACACTTGCTCACTTGCCTGCAATGCACAGGCTGCTTAGTCATTGTATCCGTCCATTCAATAGGCGCCAGCGTATGACATTCCATTCCCATTTCAGCTGCCCCGAACCCTCCCGTTCATTTCTTCCTCTAGCAAAACTTTCAATCTGCGACACCACGGCGAATCAATCAGTTGGCCATCACAACTGTATCGGCCGACTTTCTATTTATCGATTCTTTTCTTCTCCCAGCGTCGCCGCGTCGCTCACCATTCGCGACAGGCTTGCTGCGATCCTTTTACCATTCCATCAGCGCACCGAACGACAACCGACGATCTGAGCCGAACGTGACTTGCGACGCTTCACGATACTACAGCGAAAACCGACACATTATCAATCCAACCAACGCGTGACGGCGTCCCATCATTCTGCCATCAATCAAATATCACCAGTCCGCTCTCATTTTGCTTCTGCTTCGCATACTGACAAATTTCGAAACTCGATATTTTCTGGCTATTGGCTCGCTGGGCTGGCCTGGAAGGTGATCTGAGTCTCTGGCTGTGGCGCAATTGATTTGATATTTGGGACGGGATACAAGTGCGAGTCTTCCAACAGTACCATCCATCCCCCTTGAACGGGTTGTTGCAGTCTCGCTGGGTCTTTGTACTTTCCTTCTCTTTATCTGTCACTTTGTGTCTCTTCCTACGAGTACATTCAGAATTGACTCAGTCTAACTTCTGCAAATCCAAGAGCAAGAAAAACAGAGGAACAAGGAAACGAGCCTAATATTTTTGTTGAAAGGGGAGAAATTCGCTACCAGCTGAGACATTGCAGAAATCTTTCTACAAGCCCCAGCCCCCAACTCGTATCATACGTCAACATCGTTTAGGAGAGTCTTCTAATAGTACAGTGTTTGCCTTGGGCGCGGCGTCACTTCTGGATCCTGTTTGGCATCCCAGTTGCGCAACCTATGACCATTGCCTCTACAGTCAACATCGCATCAAGCTGAACCCATCATGGAGTCCTCAGTCTTCTTCAAATTCAAGTCTAACAAAGAGCCCACCCGTGTGGAGTTCGACGGAACTGGCATATCCGTCTTCGAACTGAAACGTGAAATCATCCTGAAAAGTGCGCTCGGCGATGGCACTGATTTCGACCTCATTATCGCTGCCGACGAGGGCATGAAGGAAGGTGAGTACCACCCAAGTGGGATTCAGAATGACTATGCCCAGAACGCTGACACGGGTCCAGTTTACGATGATGATACAACCATTATTCCACGATCAACCACGGTCATTGCTCGCCGCATGCCCGCCAAGATACAGGGTAGGGGAGGAGCTGCTCGCTATGTCTCGGGCAAAATGCCCGTACACGCTAAGAACTCATCGCGCAAAGAACAGCCGATCGTCAAGGCCTTGGCTAAGCCAGTCGCCAATCCAGTCGTGCAGCTTAACAGTGCCATGACTGAGGAAGAGAAGATGGCAGCTGTCTTCCAAGCTCAGACCGAGAATTTCACCGCGAGGGAGGAGGAGATGGCTACGTACGTACACTTTCCATCGCTTTAGATAACCACCAAATGTGTTGATACTAACTTGGATGTTTAGGCAGCAATATGTTGCTAAGTCTGGCCCCAAGAAACCTGCCAACGTCCCTGACCATGACCCTCCGCAGGGATACATTTGCTACAGGTGTGGCGAGAAGGGTCACTGGATCCAACTGTGCCCAACTAACGACAACCCCGACTATGACAACCGGCCCCGCGTGAAGCGGACTACCGGCATTCCCAAATCCTTCCTCAAGACAGTAGACAAAGCAACGGCCCTAGGCCAGACTGGGGACGGTGACGAAACCAAGACCCCGTCTGGCATCATGGTCAATGCCGACGGAGAGTTCGTCATTGCCGAGCCTGACAAGGCTTCATGGGAACAGTTTCAGGCTAAGGCCAAGTCGAATTCTGCAGCCCAAAAGGCTACTCCTGAGGGAGATAAGGAGATTCAGGAGCGTGGGCTGGAGTGCCCCATCGACCACAAGTTGTTCATAGACCCAATGAAGACACCGTGTTGTGAGAAGACGTATTGCAATGATTGCATTACCAACGCCCTCATTGAGAGCGACTTCATTTGCCCTGGCTGCAAGTCCGATGGCATACTTATCGATGACTTGAAGGCGGATGAGGAGGCAGTTGAGAAGATCAAGGCTTTCCTTGCAGAAAAGAATAGTAAGGCGAAAGAAGGGTCTCAAAGCCCTGGCAGTCCCAACAGCCCGACAGCCGCAAAGTCTCCGACATCTACCGACGCCCCTGCCGTCCAAACCACTACTGAGGAAACCAAGCCAAAATCAGAATCCCCGACTCCGACAGATACTGCACCATCTGCATCGCAGCAAGCCTCGCAGCAACAGACATTACAAGCGTCAAGTGCAGCATCGATGCAATCCGGCTCCACCGGCCAGACAACGCCACCAACACAGGCTAACCAGGAAGAGCGAAGTCAGCAAGTTTCGAAGAAGCGCCCTGCCGAACATGCCCTGGAGAACCCCAAGATCCCAAAGGCGCCCAAGGCCATGCAGCAGAAGGCCCAACAAACCCAGCAGCAAGCCATGATGGAGCAAATGATGGGCGGAATGCCCGGTATGCCTGGCATGAATGGCATGAATGCTATGAACTGCATGCCGCAAATGTTCCCGGCCATGCCCATGATGGGTAACTTTGGAGGTATGGGAATGCCCAACATGAACATGGGCATGATGAACCACATGATGAATCCGATGTTGGCCGGCGGGATGGGACCTGGCTTCCCACCCATGAACGGCGGGATGGGACCAGGTGGTTTCCCCGGTGGCCCCGGCGGAATGCCCAATGGCAACAATCCCGGAATGTGGAACAATGGCGGCATGGGCATGAATGGCCACGGCGGCGTTCCGAACGGTCCTAACATGGGTGGCACCATGCGAGCAGGTGGTGGCAGAATGAACGTCATGAATCAAGCAGCCGGCATGGGCATGCATAATGGTGGCGGCTATCAAGGCCAGCAGCACCAATTCAAGAATTTCTCTCACCAGCCCGCTGACGATGACGATGCCTACTTCAGGAAACCCGTCAACCCGCACCGTCACCAGAACCGCCAAAGGCGGGTCCGGCCGAGTGATTACCGGGAGCTGTAAGGGATGCCATAGGTACCCATGGTTCTAAAGCAGGAACAAGACAAGCAGCAAAGAAAACAAAAACACCCGGCATGATAGTCATCAGCACAGTCCCCGGCTTCGAATTTTACTCACACCACAACACAATACCCTATACGTGGTACATATTACAACCACCCAAACTGCATACACAACCACATGCATGTCATTTGAGGAGGGAAACGCGGCAACATCAAGCAGAAATACTCAACGAAAATACCCAGATGAGGAAGCCACGAGACATGGATGGCCGAAGGAACGGCCAGCCAGTATTTATTCGCACTCACTTTTTTGATTTCCTGATTTTCTGAGAGCATTACAGGCGTTTTTTTTGTTTTTGTTTTTGCTTTTCTGGACTTGATCTCGAAACTATCACGGAAGGACTGGATGGGTGGGTGGGAGGTTGGCTGGCGGGCAGCATGGTCATGCAAAGGCACCGTGGGGCGTGAAAGGCGTATATATGTGATGGATGGATGGATGGATAGAAGGATATGATGGCATGCAAACGAAACATCTAGGGGAAGGGAAAATGACGGCAAATGATGGACGTTATGAAAAAAGAGAAGGACGGTTGCCTGGGGAAAGGGACTTGAGCGACAGCTGTTGCTCTCTTTCTTGATGATGGTTGGGATGATGGTTGGAGGGATCACGACAGCGGAGGAGAATGTCAGCATGAACCGACTCCCGCGCTTCCCTTATGCTTTCTCTAAATAGGCAATGGACGACATACGGACTTGACCTACCGTAATTCTTCCGCTTGCTTCGTCATTTATAGCTGCCTGATTTTGCTGCATGTGTTACTCGGTCTAGATTGCTTTCGAGGGCTAGTAGGAATTATAACAGAAATAGTTTTTATCTTCTTTATCGATACTTGCCTCTCTGATGTTCTGTGTGTACGGTGTTGCATTTCCAAATATGGCTTGAAGTGAATTAACCCTCGGCGTAGGGACTAGATCCAAAAGCATCTCCCCATGATGGCTTCAGTTCTCTGGTTATGGACCAGGCAAAAATGACGGGAAAGTTCTTGAATTATCATTATCACACCTTTTATATTACCATGCCTCCTATTGTGGCGGCACAAACGGCTTAACCAACATTTCGCTAAACTTCTCCAGTTTCTCCTTACCACGGACCTCCTCCACGAGCAGCGGCATCTTGACAACGTTGAACTCGTCGTACAGCTCCTCGATCTGATCCAGGTACTTCTTTTGCATCTTCCTGCGGGCCGTGCACTGCTCGCAGTCTGACCCGGGCTTGGGAAACAGGAGCTGGTTGACCACGATGCTGTGGGTGTCGATCCCATAGCTGGCCAGCTCCTGGATCATGCGCTCCGTCTCGTACAGCGACAGGAATTCGGGGATGCACACGCACACGAACGTGGTCAGGCGCTCATCCTTGAACTGTGTGTTCACCTCTGAAATGGTGGCCCGCAATGTCTCGAGCTTCTCCATCATCTCGTTCAGGTTCTGGCCGTTGGGCAGCGTGCCGTTGGAGCCAAGGAAGCCGTTGAGCAAGGGGCCGTATTGCGAAGACAGCTGCGAGACCTTGGCCAGAGCCTTCTCGAGGACCGAGGGAAACTGCAGGAAGCGCAGCGTGTGGCCGGTCGGCGCCGTGTCGAAGATGATGGTCTCGTACGAGAGCGACTTGACTTGCTTGAGGACTTCGGCGAAGGACATGGCTTCATCGATACCGGGAATCTATGGCAGACTCAAGAGTCAGCATGTGTCATCCATCTAGCGCCTGATTATGTCACGCAATGCGCAAGGGATCCAAGGTCAACAACGTACCGCAAACGCCAAATCCTGCATCATGCCGCCCACACCACCCATATCACCAGCACCCTCATTCTCGCCCTGGCCGGCCAGGAGATCCTGGATGCTACCGTTGGGGTCAATCTCCATAGCGCTCAGGTTGTCGAAACCATCAATCAGACGCGCCTCCTTGCCAAACTTTTGGCTAAAGGCATCACTGAGATTGTGGGCGGGGTCGGTCGAGATGAGCAAGACCGAACGGCGGACCTTGGCCAGCTGGATGGCCAGACTGCACGACGTTGTCGTCTTGCCGACACCACCCTTGCCGCCGACGAAAATCCAGCGCAGCGAGCGCTGGTCGAGAATCGACTGGAGCGTGGGCTCCATGTGGTCGTCGTCGGCATTTATGACTGCGGTAGACATGATGATTGATGTTGGAGCTTGGCACTTTGCGCTTTTGGTATTACGATGATGGTTGTTGTTTCGGAAGAGGTTAGATATGGCGTTCCACCGAACGGGTCGAGGTGAACTGCGCAGGTGTGCTGTTGTGTCAGGGGCGCCCGAACGAACGGAGGAGTGAGGTCTGGAATCAGTTCGAATCGCAAAGTCGACCTCCTTTTGGGACGCGATGTCGGGTTCAGTTGGGGTCACCACACCTCATCCCTCGTCCCCTCCAGTGAGAAGGGACAACGTCACTGGCCGTTGGTGGGGTAGCTGCCCTGTATCTCTGGCGCTAGGGACGGGCAGGCGCCCCTGTGCCTTATCGTAGAAATCTAGCGCACAGGTACATAGCGCTTCTCCTCACTGATACAGCAGCAGCGTTCATGGGTGTGTAAACAAACCCCTGAATAGGGCAGAAGTTGATCTTCGTTCCCTTAGCAATTCAGCTTCTCGCAGAGGACCCGAGGGAACGCGTGGTTATCCGGCCCTAGAAGGTGGAGAACCATTTAAACGTGAACAGTACACATCTTACTTCTTCTCCTTCTCGGGTGCGGATAGCATTGTGATGTGCCGCAAAATGACCACAAGGATCGCCAAGGTAAGCATCAGCATGGCAGACGCGATACATAGACCCCTTGCTACCTCACAGGAAGACACGCCTACCTATCTCTGACCAAGCTCACCGGCTCCGGAAGCTATATCTGGGACCAGAACACTATGAAGTAGGTACATGGTTTCAACGCCAATGGATAACTTGTGAAGATGTTCATGCATGTAGGCTTGAACAGATATGGAATTTTGTCCAGATGAATTCCTGTCATGTACAAATTAGTAAGCTACGGAGATCAAAAAGGGCCCAGCGCCGTTAAGGTCATGTTCTCACTTTGCGGGGTATTCCTTAGTCCGGGAGGAGGTTCACCCATCACGCTTTGTTCCGTCCTTCTTATAGCCGTTCCGCGGTACACAATATCCTGGACGTCTAGATGTAAAACTGCAGGCTCAAAATCCCCGGCGTGACAGCCAATACAATGCAGGAGACAAGACTGAATGGTTGATCCAGTACCTCAAACGGTCTCCGTCCCCGCATTCGTCCTGATCCGGAAAAGAGTTTCGGAGGCACATCCGAAGGCCATGCGCACTATATAGATGGGCACCACTGCAATGCGCGTCCCCTTGTTTGAGCCTCAATTACTTTTAGACGATCAGCCAGAACCAGAAAGGCTCGAGCCTCGCGCGCCCTCATTTGCCGTGGCCCACCGGCTGTGCGCTATTCTGACCGCCGTGGCATCGATGCCCTTGGTGGGTGGGCAGCGCTAAGTAACAGGGATGAAGCCGTTGAGCTTCCAAACTGCAGGCCTAATATTGCCATTCATGGTTGAGGAGACAGTCCAGCCTTGACAAAACCCGCTACCGTGACTTTTTTTTTCTTTTTTCTCTTCCACCCAGAGTAATAAAATCTGACCTGTCTTTGGGACGACACTATCCTCTTACTGAGTCTTATACTACCTCACAGCTCACGATATCGGAATCCCGGACCAAAGTCTCGTTTCACGGCAGCAGCGAGGCAACACCTACGTCTACTCAGCAGACCGTGAACCAAATCCACCGAGCGACTACAGTGCAGAAGAGACAACAGGATACCTCTACCGATCTCAGCCATCACTTTGTGAAGTTCACGGCATCTACGGGCATCTGGAGGCATCAGTGTCACACTACCACTCACTCACTGGCTGACATTGAGATCCACGCAGCACGGTCCAGCCAAATACTCTGGGGAAGGGTAGGGTGTCGTCTTGTAGACAAACTTCAGCTCCGAGCCGACACCTTTGTTGTTAACTGAGCGGCAACTGCTAGCGAGAAGGAAGACGCGAGAGACAAGGTTCCTGCTCCTACACTCAGGATGGTGGACCGCAAGCCTTCGGAAGCTGCGCCGACCACGAGCGGAAGACAGTCTCATGCGATTCCTGCAGCATCATTCCGTGCGTGCGCCACCTTTTCGTTTTACCTACCAGCTTATCTCTTGAACTACATCACATGTTTTCCAGCCTTGGTACCAATCTTTCCATCACGAACTATACTTATTTGTCTCGAATCCTGTTCTTTTGCTACACCTTCTCCCAACAAGTCATGATTCCGTATAACTGCTAGAAACGGGCCGCGAGTCTGACCTGTAATGGACCAACCAGCAACCCATAACTCGCCGAGGACATGGCTCATAACGTCTGCGCTCACGCCACTCGCTATCCGGTTGATACGTCAGCTCCTGGCGCACGGCGACTACATAGTCGCCTGCCTACCACCACAGGAGATTGAGCACGAAGACCGCAGTGCCGAATTCCGTGAGCTCATCAACGAATGTAAGAGCAACCGCAAAGATCGTGAGGGATGGAAGGACCGGATCCGCCCCATCCGGTGTGATAGCCGCGTCATGGGCCAGTGCGGCGCTGCCGTCGCCGAAGCCGTCCAAATATTCGGGAGGATTGACATTATGCTGTGTTGTAGAGCTGAAGGTAAGTGGATCGCGAACATAGCTACATGTCCAGACGATGGATGACCCGCTAATTCTTGTTGTGTTTCTATAGCCGTTGTGGGGACGGTTGAGGAACTATCAACCAACCCTGCGACGCAGAACCTGGTGAGGGACCAGTTCGAGACTGTCTACTTCTCGCAGGTGAACTTTATCAAGGCTGCCTTACCGCAGCTCAGAGCGCAACACACAGGCCATATCATGGTTCTGACCAGCATTGGTGGCCACATTGGGACACCAGGCATGTCCTTTTACACAGCTGCCGTCTGGGCACTCGAGGGCTTCTGTGACTCGCTTGCATATGAGATTGCGCCCTTCAACATCAAGATGACGATTGTGCAGCCCAATAAGGAAATCCTAAGCCTAACCAACAAGCTCATATTCTCGCCGCCACTACCCCAGTACGAGGCCGACCTGAATCCGGCTCCGAATATTCGGGATGTCCTGTCCACCGTGCTGAACTCGAACCCGGACACGTACATTGAGCAAAGCGAAGACGAGATACAGTTCCGCTACCCGAAACTTCCGCCCGCCACCTTGGACAAGCTGGTCATGGAGACGGTGCATGCCTTGACAGCCATTGGCGGACACGAGAACCCGCCGGCAAGGCATATCGTTGGGTTCGAAGGTGCGATTGCCGTCAAAGAAAAGCTGAAGACGGTGACGGAGGAGCTGGAAGACTTTGTTGAAGTCAGTCTGGCCGTGGATATCTTTGACAGCGAGCTCACGGCCGAGGCAAGGAAGGGTAGGTCAGAAATGGAGGATACACAAGGCATGGGAGTGGGAGAGATTCCATCGAGTGCGGGAATGGGTGGCTTTCCTGGTATGGGACCAATGTCATGATAGCGTTGGGCTCTTAAACTCTAAACTAAGGCGAAGTGTGATGGTAAAAAGCTAGGTAGTCAAGGTGGGAATAGAACATGATACTACCTATTTTCTCGCTTCTATGAGTCAAGAACGTGGATACTATTCCGTCTTGATTCCAAGAACTTCTGGTCAGTATGGGTAGCTTGGAAGGAAATATCACGAGGCTTTCTGCGATTTCTATAAACAGGAGTTGGTATTTTTGTTGCCGTGAGGGATACCGTTACCCGGAGGTGCTTCCGGACCTTTGCTGGGCTTTTGCTCCACTTCTCGGCCGGGGCAGGGAGAGACGGCCGGAATGATCCCCAGAAGGAAAGGCGGGGGAATTGAAGCGCTGGAGCTGCCCGTTCAAAGCTTGGGCCGCCTCAACACAGTATACCTACAGTCCCTGCCACAAATAAACGCCCCGTTGTTTTTTTCCCCGCAAAAAAAGCCAAAACTCAACCTGATCACTCCGAGATACTTTCTCCAAAGAAAGCTTAATAGTTAATGTACTATTAAATATGAAAAAGAAATAGCGTAGTTTAAGACTAGTAAGAGTTTTATTTCCTTTGCATTCTTTATAGTTATGCAATCGAGATGCAAAGTTGGAGTCGAGTGGGTGAGAAAATTATAGTGGACTTATAGCGCACTTTAGTGGATGAAAATCCGAGTTGGTTTTGCGGTTTGACTTTACACCAGAATTTTGCAGCCATCTTATCTTTTACTAAAAGTAGCTATCAAGATGAAGGATTTCTAGTAAAGAACTATTCATCTTGATTTTAGTATGCTTAGATACCTATAGGTGGCTGAGTTATATAGTTATTAAGGTGGTGAGTTTTGGCCTTTTAAGGTGGAAAATAAAAAACGGAGCGTTTCTTTGTGGCACCCACTGTACTAGTGTCGGGTACCTCTACAGCGGGGAGCTGCCTGTATTCTAGCACCAAGCCCCTGCGCCGTCCGATCCAGTTCAACTGTTCAAGTGCCTGCCCAATCCCCCGGCCTCTAGGGGGGGGAGGGGCGCTCGGTCTATTCAACGATTCACCGAAGGAAGGGAACATTACCAGTCCAGGGCATACATGGAAGGACGGGGCTCGGTACCCGCTTGAAACAACCACGGCAGCTTTACCTACCTCTAGTCGTGTACATACCTCTACCTAGTCAGGTAGTTCTCACAGCTAAAGTACCTCTACCTACCTACCTCTAGTAGACAGCCCGTTTCTGCATCGCCAACACGTTCAGACGTAACCGACGACAGCCAGCAGGTGCGGAACAGCAAGGCAACCTCAAGGCAGGGCAACAAGGTAGCAGCACAGGTCGCGTTGCTTGCCCGATGCTTCGAAGCTCCTCTTGGACCCCGACATGTCCCTTCTCTCCATCTGAAGGAAGCTAGCGACGCAACCTCAACAGTAGCATCCCACCGCGTCCCCAAAGGCACAGGAATGACCTCGCTGAGACGACCATGACTCCGGATCCTTTCCTGCCCGTCGCGCCGGCGAGGGTCAAGACTTTGGTGTTGCCCATAGGAAGGATTAAGCGTGACCGCTTTGACACCTTTGTCAAGAGCTTGACCCCCGAGAATGTCGTCCAGCTGCGCGACGTCACCGCCGATGGACGTCCAAACAGAAGTAGGGATAGCACCCGCTTGTATCCAAGGTCCATGAGAGCTCTCGCTGACCCGCGTATCTGCCTCTCCTAGATATGTTCACCCCGCTGGCCTTCCCCGACGGTGCCATGTTCTATGATCTTATGACACACGTGCCACCCCCTTCGCACCTTGCGCTGGTGCCCTTCGACCTGTATCGCGAGCCGCTGGCCCTGCTTGCCATTGCCGATGGCTCCGAGATCAATAACGTTGTTCTTAGCAAGAGGCAATCTGGCGGCAGGACCGTCGCCGAAACAAACATACGCTCGTTAGATCAGGAGTTGGAAGACCTAAGGGACCGCTACCCCAGGATACTTGTTCACCAGGTACTGCTGTTCGACTATGTGCCTTCCGAAGAGAACCCAATACCAATCCCAGAAGGCATCGTTACAATCCCGCCACCCGAGCAGCATAAAAGAACTACCATGAAAACGGTCATGTGTGACATATCCTCGTTGATTCTCGCTGAGATGACCACCCTTGCCAAGTCATATGAGGGCATGACCTTTATCACCTCGCCCGGTCACGCTTCGACCGCGGAACAGATGTATGGGGGACAAGGGCCTGTAGGAGACCCTTCGAGGAGGAATTCCCAGTTTGCACTGCCAACCAACCGATCGGTCTCGGCAAGCGGACTTATTGATAGGGGCCACCAGGCGCGCATGTCCATGCCTCCTGTCCCTTTCAAAGGAGGCACTTTTGGTTCCAACCGTGCAGTTTCTGGCCAACCGGCAACACCGCCAAACGGAAGAAGCGGGCTATCTAACCCGCCTACGAATTTTGACGACATCACGGGAGACGAATCAGCTAGTCCTGAGAAGGCACTGCCTCCGCGTCCCGACCTTATGGATGTCTTCAGGACCCAGAGCCAGGACAGGGTGTCGGTCCAGGGATTTGGTTCGGGCGGATCGACCGACAAGAAATTACACAGGGGAAAGAGCAGGTTCCAGATCGTCTTGGGCTCGCTATATCTCCAGGCTGGTCGGTGGATTGACGCGCTCAGAGAGCTGACTGAGGGTGCAGCCGGGGCCAAATCGACTAATGATCACATTTGGCACGGCAAGGCCCTGGAGCTTTCTCTAATAGCACTGTTGCTGCTGGGTTGGGCAGGCATTGAATTTGACGTGCACCCCATCTTGCTACCCACTGCCGACAAAGGGACAGCGCTCGCGAACCAGATCCTGGAGGCTGAACAGAAAGATCCGAACCAACCGCGCTGGCTACGGAGATTACAGGTGTACATCCCAGAGCTGCTCGACCGTATCATCAGTCTCTACTCGAGGATAACAGCCGAAAATCTCCAACCGCTACCCATGTCTGAGACCATCATCCGTTTTTGCAGAATGCTCACGGCTCTGCATATTGCGGATGGGAAGCTCGACGAACGGTCTCTGGAGATGATGGTCCTTGGTACACCGCCGCCTAAGCGGTTGACCACGTCTCCTAGGTTTACTATCGTCCCAACCAGGACTCATATCCTATCGAATCTAATGAAGGCTTATCCGGGTTCTGCTTCTGAACTGTTGACTACCGCTGATCGGATAGTACTCCTCAGCGGTATTGCATCCGTATTGGGACTACTAGGTTTCCAGAGGAAGAAGGCTATGATCGTTAGGGATCTGGTGTCGGTTCTGATCGGCGGCCTGGTGGAAGCGCGCACCAGGGGAGCCGCGGATGTTGGGATTCATCCCGCAGCTGGGCTCGTAGGTCTTAATGGGCTCGGCGGAAATGGCCATGCTGGTGCTCTGGATCTAACCGAGAATGATATCGAGCAGGGTATCGGCCCCTTTCTCGGCCTCCTGCTCAGGTCGTACGGAGTGGTAACCGATGACCCGGGCTCGACGGCGTCTTTGGAAGGCCCGGCCACAAGGGACGACTCCGACGAAGCAGTAGTTGCAAGAATCTTGAAACAGTCCGATTTACGGAATTTCGGCATACGGGATATCAAGCTCAACATTCTGAGGACATGCGTCAGCTTCTCTGAAGCGCTTCCAGATTTTGCTGGCGTGTTGAAATACTCGAGCGACCTCCTACGGACGGCTGGAAGCGGTACCGCTCCTGGGCTGCGGCGCGAGGACGCTTACCCGGCAATTCATAGAGAAGACCAGATACGCTTCGCCACCAACATCTCGAAAACGTCTAATCTTGCCAAGCGTCTGGGTATGGATCATTTGGCGGCCGAGTATTGGGACGAGTTTCTTCTCAGGGGCGTTAAGCTCGAACCCTTGGCGACGACGCGAACACCGGTTTCGCATGCTCGGAGCGTGCTGCCAAATGCCGTGACGACGACGAGGACCTCGCAAGACGTCAATCCATTCATTTATAACCCTTTTCTAAAACAGCCAGACGCAGCAGCCGTCGAAAAGGTTCTGGTTGCTGGGGAGGCGGCAACATTCAAACTTACCTTTCAAAACACATTTGAAATGGATCTGGAGCTGGAGAGCATCCGTCTAGATACTGAAGGGGCCGAGTTCGAGTCTGCAGTTGAAAGCCTCGTCATAGGGCCTTATCGTACCCAAGTTCTCAGGATATCGGGAGTGCCGAAGGCTGCAGGGACCTTGAGGATTAAGGGTGCTATCATCAAAGTCAGGGGCTGCCGCGAAAGAAGGTTTCCTATTTTCATTGAGCAATGGGCTCCTGAGAAAGAACAAAAGGTTAAAGGCATCGGCCTCGCGGCACTTGATGTCCCCCCCGCAAAGCGTACACCTCCAACGCAGCGTCCTAAGCCAGAAAGCCTTGAGCTTAACGTCATTGCCGGACAACCAGTTGTCGTCGTCAAGTCTTCAACGCTCCCCCAGTCATCGGTTATGATCCTTGAAGGGGAGCGCCAAAAGTTCTCGGTCACGCTGCAAAACCTATCAACCACGACTCCAGTCGATTTCCTGCTGTTTTCCTTCCAAGATTCGACTCAGGAACCATTGCAAGCCGCAATGGCCAGCAGAGATGCCACTCTTGCTGAGCTCTATGAATATGAGCTCATCCTTGCCAAGAAGCAGGCTCTTCGTATACGCAAGGAAGGGAACCAGAAGAGGTACATTCCTCCTGGCGGCACAGCAACATTCGACTTTGAGATTCTCGGGAAACCAGGTCTTACACACGGCCTCATCCAGGTTGACTACGCTTGCTTAGGCGTGCCTCCTGACGAGCTAGAAGAGGAGAGGTTCTTTACTCGTCAGGTCTCGCTGGCACTTACCGTTACTGTCAATGCCAGTATTGAAATAGCCCGCATGGACGTCTTCCCACTGCACGGCAGCATCCCTGAGCCCCTCTGGCTACGGGCGGGTAGCAACAAGGAGAGCACGTCGGAACTGACCGCCGATACACATTGCCTGCTGATGTTGGATTTGCGCAATGCTTGGCCGAGTAATATGGTGATACAGCTCGAGTCAGAGGACGGAGCCAGGCTCGAGGAGCATATCCTTCCTGGAAACGTTAACAGAGTGATCTTCCCAATTAAAAGAGTCTACCTCGAGGACCCTTATGCGTCCATTCCTGTGTTGAACCCCTCTCGGCAGAGGCAGTTCATTGTCAGCTCAAAGCTTACGCCTGAGATGGAACGAGCCAACCGTGAGGCGTTCTGGTACAGGGAGAGAGTGCTAGACTCGCTCACGGGAACGTGGCGGACCGGGCCAGGAGGGGGAACCATTGCCGGCGGTAGGAGCGGAAGCATCGAGTTAAGGGCTATGAGGTTGACGAGCCGCATGATTGAGGCGGTAAAGGTGGATGAGATCGGGATCGAAATCTCCGTTCTGGATGCCTCCGCCTCGCCATCCTCCCCTGAAAAGCAAAAGCACAAATCACACGCAATCGCCAAGGTCGAGTCCTTTTTGCAGCTCCGCGTCGCTGTCACTAACCGCACAAACCAGCCCATCTATCCGCTCGTCCGCCTCATGCCGTCCCTATGCCACCGACCGCTCAACGTCGCGCTCGACTTCACCCGCAAGTTTGCCTGGAACGGCACTCTTCAGAAAGCACTACCTCTCTTGGCAGGTGGAGAGAGTGCCGAGGTTGTTATGGGCGTCACGGCATTGTGTAGAGGCGAGTTTGAGATCTCTGCGAGCGTGGAAGAGACGATGGTGTGGAGGCCGAGCGAGGAGGAAGAAGAGGAGAGGCGGAAGAGGAGGAGCGAGGTGGAGAAGATGCAAGATGCGGCGATGGGGATGGAGATTGCGGGCAGTAAAAGGGAGAGGAGGGTGTGGTGCTCTAGGAGGCCGGCTAGAGTTGTTGTGATCAGGAATGATATGGATGAGTAAGTCCTTCAAGCTGATGAGTCTTTCTGGCCACCAGGAAGGAAGGGAGGATATACTATGTAGGTAGATGTATCCATGCATGGCACAAGCGTTGACATTGGTTTCGGGCTGGGGTTAGTGGGAATGGCTCGGGCGGAAAGCATGAAAGTATGATATGAAGCTGTATGACACGTAGAGTAAACATTAATTGGCATATATCCATGAATGACTTTCCCTAGTAGTAGCATAGAGCTAATCACACGAGTTCTGATCTGCAGAACGACATGAAGTGCTATCATTGTGATGACGGAGATCAATATCATGCCAGGGTTAGGGTTCTGGCAATATGTACAAAACTCCCTGACGCTAAAGCCGCTCGCCACTGCGATTGACCGAATACGCTCGGTGGCCAAGGCTTTCGAGATTTTGTTAAACGAATGTCACCACTGACTCGCAAAAATCGGCGCAAAACTTTATTTTTCCCCTTTGCTCATGAAAGTGAGTTAGCCGGTGGACTCATGTGGGTGTAAGAAGGAACCTTGAGGGAAAAAGAGGAAAAAAGACGAAAAAAGAAGAAGAAAAAAAGGGTTCGATTTCGTTCCTGCAGCACACCCCTCATTCATTAATTTGTCCTACATATGCAAGGAAGACATGGACGACCAACCCATATCCGAGTCTAACACCAAGATGTTTACACCCACCACCCATCATCATCCTATTGAGTCTTTCTCCGAGTCGTCTTTAAAACACCTTCATTCGTCTGAATCTGACCACACCAATGGCAACAATGTCTCTCCAGCAAAAACATGCAGCAACGAGAAGAAGCAAAAGAAGCACAAAATCCTTTTCCTAGACGCCTACGACTCCTTCTCCAACAACATCACCTCCCTCCTCACCACCCTCCTCGACGATGTAGACGTTTACGTCCTCTCCATCGACTCACCCCTCCTGGATCCTACCTCGCCCGATTTTGGCAAACGGTTCCGCAGGGAACTTGCCCAGTACACGGCCGTGGTATGCGGTCCCGGGCCGGGGTCGCCCGATAATGATGCGGATGTTGGGCTGATGAATTATGTGTGGCAGCTTACTGCTGCTGAGGAAGCGGATGGAGAAAAGGGGGGAGAAGGTGGTGCACTCCTACCCGTCCTGGGCATTTGTCTCGGGTTTCAGAGCTTGGTGAAGTATGGTGGTGGGGAGGTGAAGAGGCTGAAGAGGGGGTTGCATGGGATGGTTAGGGAGGTTTTGCATCTTCCCCACGGCAGCGGCGAAGGTGACGGTGAGGGCAACGGCAGCAGCAGCATCTTTCGGGGTGTTCAACCGTTCAAGGCGACGCTTTATCACTCGCTTTGTGGCGATATTGGCCAGCATGAGGTTTCTGACGCGGACTGGGAGGAGGGAGGTGCGAAATGGAAGCCCATCGAAAGGTGTCCAGATCTCTTGCCGCTGGCGTGGGTAGAAGAGAAGCGCGAGGACGGGGAGGTGGAGAGAATCCTGATGGGAGTAAAGCACATGAAAAAACCGTTCTGGGGGCTGCAGTACCACCCTGAATCGGTGTGCACAGAGAAAGAGGGGAACAAAGTTATTGAGAACTGGTTTAAAGAAGCGCTGAGTTGGAACGAAAAGAAGAAGAGGGTGGTGGTGGAAGTTGCTGAAGGCGAGAGGTTGGCGCACCAGGCTACTAAGCCTAGTCTGTTGTCAATGTTACAAGTTCCGGTTGGCGACGAGCACATGTCGTTTTCTACTACTAGCGAGAGAAACAAGATGTGGTGGGAGCGCATGGGAACGAGACCTGAGCACCGTTCTGTTACGGTCCGTCTGCCATACGGCGTGCAGGTGTCGGACGTGGTGGAGGAGCTGGGCCTGGATGGCTCCGACAAGGTGGTGGTTTTGGAATCTGCAAACGCGGCTGCTGCGGCGTCGTCGAGAGCAGATGTGCGAGGTCGATACAGCATCATCGCAGCAGGACTGGAAGAGGCACTGCGGCTGGAGTACCACACTGGTGATGAGTATGCTACTTTCAAGCTTCAGCAGATCAACGGCTTGCAGGTGGATCTGTCTGAACGGGTTTTCCTCGGTTCTTACGGCGGTATATGGGGTCTCATGGCCAGTTTCCATGGGACGCGGAGCCTGGGGAGTGGTGTTGAGCTTCCTGATCTACCGTTCCTGGGAGGATTCATAGGTTTCATCACCTATGAACAAGGCCTGAGTGACATCGACATCCGTCTGGAAACACGCCCACACCACCGACCTGACGTCTGTCTGGCATGGGTAACAAAGAGCGTGGTCATAGATCACAGTCTTGGCTTGGCCCATATCCAGGAGTTATATTCTTCTGATGCAAGCTTGGGCGATGCTGCCTGGATGCGGAGCACCGCAGACCGACTTGTTTCAGTCTCTGCCCATCACCGACACCCATTCCTCAACGATTTGCCTTCACCCGCCAAGAAGGTGAAAACGCGCCATCCTTCTACAAGCCCCTCAATACAGACACCTCTGATACCGGAATACGAGGCCAAGGTTAAGGCCTGTCAAGAGTTCATCGCAGCCGGCGACTCTTACGAGCTCTGTCTCACAGACCAAACCAAGATCACTCGGCCCCTGAGCGACATGATCCCGTCATCTGCTCCCCAAGAAAATCAAGGACTGCAACAACAGCAACAACAACAACAACAGCGAATAAGCTCAACCTTCAACCGAAAGCAGCAACAACAGCGTCGCTCCTCCTCCCCCATCCCCTCCTCCTGGCATCTCTACAAAACGCTCCGCTCCAGACAACCAGCCCCATTCGCGTCCTACCTCCGCCTCGGCGGCGCGACGCTCGTCAGCGCCTCGCCCGAGCGTTTCTTGACGTACAACCGGCATGGGCGGTGCTCAATGCGGCCGATGAAGGGAACAGTGCGCAAGTCCGAAGCGGTCTCGACGCTCGAGCAGGCCGAGAAGATTCTGCACGTGCCCAAGGAGGAAGCCGAGAACCTGATGATTGTCGACTTGGTCCGGCACGACTTGCATTCGATTTGCGGGGCGGGTCACGTTGAGGTGAGCGATCTGCTCAAGGTGGAGGAGTATCAGAGTGTGTTTCAGATGATTACTGTTGTTGAAGGGCAGCTACCCCCAACCTCTGACGAGAAGAGATACACGGGGCTGGACGTCCTCGCGGCCAGTCTGCCGCCGGGAAGCATGACGGGAGCTCCCAAGAAACGCAGCTGCGAGCTGTTGCAGCAGATTGAGCAGAACAGTGAGCGCAGTTTGTACTCGGGTGTTGTTGGCTACATGTGTGTCAGCGGGAGAGGAGATTGGAGCGTGACGATCCGAAGTCTGTTCCGGTGGGACGATGAGCGGGTAACTGTGCAGGGACAAGGAGCAGATAGCCAGAGTGAGGAAGAACATGAGGTGTGGCATATTGGCGCTGGAGGAGCGGTTACCATCCTGAGTACCCCTGAGGGTGAGCGGGAGGAAATGTTTACGAAACTCGCTGGGCCGTTGAAGGTGTTTGCGGATCTGGGTTAGACTCGATGAATTGGTGAGAGAAAGAGTGGGAGTGTTCTATGGTGAGCAGAGCTGGTTCGAGGCCAGAGGCTGTGGAAGAAAGGGAAGGCGAAAAACAAAAGCAAGATAACTTCATCATTTTGGGCCCAGGCGCGCGTTAGGGTTATAAGAACAAGATATCCAACATATCTAGGGTGTCGTCTTGGTGTCAAGGCTAAAATGGGTTGGAGTTTTGTGGCTTGTCATATTAGCTCAACCGATGCATACCTTACGGCGGGATTAAAAAGTAGACTTTTCAACGCGATGCATTGCAAATGGAGAGAAAGAAGACGTCAAGCCCTCTCGCTAGATGAATGATCACCGCAAAAAAACAACCTCATAACTGTCTCGTAATAATCCAAATCCAGCCCAGCCCATAAGCGCTTCATCAGCCAGTGCTCGCCTCTTTCCCAAAACCCATTTGATCATATCCCATAGCTGTCATCCGGCCCAAGTCCCGGCACTTGTACAATCATGGTCTCCCACCATGCGTAAATCGGTTCCGCACCCAACCGCTCTCCGGAAGTCGCTGCTTCTCTGTAGTTCTGTGTCATTGTTGTGTGTGTCTCAGACTCTGGACCATTCTGTCGTGGTCGAAATCATTGGTCGGCTAGTCAGAAGTCTTGCTCTTCCTGGAAGAACATGGCAAAGCTGATAATGGTGCCATAGATCAACAGGCCACCGATAACGGACATGATCATGGCCGGGACCGTGATGATGGCCGAGTTTGCGAGAACTACTGGAAGAGCTGTTTGTCGAAGAGGGGAGGAGAGAGATGTCAGCTATCGTACATGCAACACAACACAAACACAGGATACACGACAGCCACAAGATGGAGGAGTAAACCTACCAAGTCCCATCATGACCAGGAAACCAGTGCAGAAGCGACCCAGATCCAACACCGCAGCGCCCGAGCTCTCAACAAAGTCGTCCGGATTGGCGCAATGGCTGCAGATCCAGTTGGGTATGGGCGCCAACACGTAGGTGGCCACCACCAGCAGCGGGTAGTATGCCTTCCATAGTGCGCATGACAAGATGACGAGGAGGAAGCCCACCGCCAAGACGAAGGAGAGCGCGATGATGGTCTTGAGTCCTGCTGCCATCTCGGGTGGATATGTGAAAGCTTCTGGTTGCAAAGGCGTCCAAGTTTCGGGCACAGTAGAAGTCAGGGCGTCGTTTACGCCGGTAACCCGGAGAATCTGCCCAGGTAGAGTCGAAGTGTCGCGGGCTTGCCGGGATCACAGGTGTTTGTTGCGCAGACGTGGCTAACTCGTAATCGATGGAAATGTAAGCGCTGCCTGCTGCTTTTTGTGATCGAGAACCTGACAGATTATCGCGTGGGTTACTCGGCTTGCGCGCTTCGTCGACTCGTTGCTGTAGCAGGCGACAAGTCGTGATGGTGGTGATGCAGTGTGCTTGTGGTGGAGAGTGGTGTCGTTGGAGGAGCTCCAGCGAGCGGGAACAAGTGACGACTTGCACTGACGCTTTGGCTGTCGTCAGTCAGCCTCTTCCTGGCTCTCGCTCAGCACATTCCGTTCCATACCTAGAGAGAGGTACCTACCTAGGTATGTAGCGCGCACCTGGCCGCCCGCACTTACACTACAAGTAAGGTAGGGTAAGTACAAGCAAAAGTGGGTCTGACTTTCTTTTGGCGGGCAAGGGAGGTACCTGCAGCGACGTACCAGTTGCCTGCCCGCCCGCGCGTTGCCTGTCCCGCCCTCCGTCACCCAACATCCCATCCTCATTGCCTGGGCGGCGGGACCTGACGAAGCTAGGAGCTGCCTGCGCAACTGCCCGCGGGAAGAAGCAACCACTGTCCACTGACCTCCCCCCCATCCATCCCACCCAGACTGCACCACCACCACCACCATCGTCACTATCAGCACAAACAACAATCTTTCGCGTCCTCCAAACACCCGCCAGAAGAAACCGACGAGATACTTGCCGGCACAGATCCCCGATACCCCCGCCGCAATCTGCTCTTGTTTCCCAATCTCCTCGATAGAGGTGTCCAGCAGCCATGTTCAGGAACAACTACGACAACGACTCGGTCACATTGTAAGCGAAGCTGTCCCGCAGCCGCCAGCCAGACTGGGCCCTGCTTCCAAACGCCCAAAGCTCTGCACTTAAAGAGGTCTACCCTCGACATTCAGCTAACAACTGCTTTCCCTTCAGCTCTCCGCAAGGGCGAATTTTCCAGGTCGAATATGCGGCGGAAGCAGTAAAGCAGGGTTCGGTGGTGGTGGGAATTGCTAGCAAGACACACGCCGTCCTGGTAGCGATCAAGGTACTTCGCCCCGACCACCCCTCGTGCACCACCCTGCCGATACATGTATCCTCCCATCCATCCTAGAGCCAAGTTGAGCTGACCATGTTCTTGTCGCTCTATCCAGCGTAACGCCGAAGAACTCTCCTCGTACCAAAAGAAGCTCTTTCCCATCGACGAACATGTCGGCATCGCCATCGCCGGTCTCACCTCGGACGCGCGCGTCCTCTCCAACTTCATGAAGCAGCAGTCCCTCGGCCACCGCCTCACGTACGGCCGCAACATGCCCGTGCGGACCCTTGTCGACATGATCGGATCCAAGGCGCAGATCAACACGCAACACTACGGTAAGCGGCCCTACGGTGTCGGTCTCCTGGTCGCCGGCGTTGACGACCACGGCCCGCACCTTTTCGAGTTTCAGCCCAGCGGCATGACCGAGGAGATGGTGGCCTTTGCCATTGGCGCCCGCAGCCAGATGGCGCGCACATATTTGGAGAAGAACCTAGAGGCCTTTGCCGACTGCGGCCGCGAGGAGCTGATCCGTCATGGTCTCAAGGCGCTCAAGGAGAGCTTGGTGCAAGACCGCGAGTTGACCATCGACAATACCAGCGTCGCCATTGTGGGTGTCGAGAAGCAGGAGGACGGCACGACCAAGCCGCAGCCATTCATGGTGTACGATGGACAAGACGTCAGCGCATGGATAGAGAGTGTGGCGGATAACCAAGAGGCTGCCCCGGCAGCTGCCGAGGGCGAGGGTATGGATGTCGATAGCTAAAGGATAAAAATGTGGGGTTTACTTTGAGGCATAGGTGCAGATTTAGCACATGGAGCGCATACACCCGGAATGAAGTAATGAGATGAACAAGTCCCTTTATGTTAATGCATTGTTTTGTGTCTACTGACATCATGACGCGAATCCCACCGATCAAGCAAACTGGTACACCGAGAGCTTTTGAATGATGGCCCAGCCTAAGAAACAGTACCCCTGAACGCCGTCGTCCATCCAGAACGAAGCTGCGCGATGCAAGGCAACAGCAACTGCTTTCCCCAGCAGGAAAGGGAAACCTCAAGAAAACGATCTTCCCTCGTCTCTTACCCTCCTTGCCTACTCATCACTCCAGTTCAGCTTGAAAACCGCCTCGGACACCTTATACTCCCTCAGCGCCTTGATCGCATCCTCCGAGTTCTTCGCCTCCACCATGATCTTTCCATTTGCCTGGTTCACAAATCCCTCTTGGATGCTGTTCTGGATCCAGTGCAGAATACCGTCATAGAAGCCGTTGATGTTGAGCAGGACGATGCCCTTGTCGTGGATGCCCAGCTGGTTCCACGTCACCGTCTCGAACAGCTCCTCCATGGTACCGTAGCCGCCACTCAAGGCGATGAAGCCCGATCCGGGGCCGCCCGTTAACACCTCCTGCGCCATCATCATCTTGCGCGTGTGCATGTCCTTGACAATGGTCGTTCGGCCAAAGACGTTCTCATCAGGGACGGGAAGCTGCTTGGCCTTTGCCTCCTCGTCGGCGGCGGAATCCTTCTGCCCGCCGCTCACCTGGGTGGACGTGTAGTGAGGGTCGCGCTCGTACCGGACCAGAGCCTCGGGGATGATGCCGTGGACGGAGTCAGGGCCGGACAGGGAAACAAGGGTCTTGGCAATTTCGCCCATGAGGCCGACTGTGCCACCACCGTAGACTGTGACATTACTGTTAGTGAGGAGTTCCAGTAGTAGTAGTAGTAGTAGTAGTAGTAGTAGTAGTAGTAGTAGTAGTATTTGGGTAGGAGAAGTAAGTCAGTACCGAGGTCAATGTTGTTGGCGGCCATGGTACGGGCGAGCTGGCGCGCGGCTTCGAGGTAGATGGGGTTGTTGCCGGCGGATGCGCCGCAGTAAACGCAGATCTTGGTCCGCTTGGGGTTGGAGGTAACACCGTTGGTCGACATGTTGGTCATCTCTCCTTGTTTAGTTACTGTATGTCAAGAAATGTTGCTTGGTGGTAAGGTCTCTTTAAATGCTCTTATGAGAGAGTGTGGTGACTCGGTGAAGGTAAAGGTAGCGGAGTGGTAGCGGAGTGGCAGCGTTGGGTTCAAGATATTTATACAAAGTGAAGGGCAAAGTGGGTTCTAAGAACCTGGGCCCAGATCTTTTGTATTGAACCTTCTGCTAAACTTTTACGGCTTGAGCCAACAAGAGCTATCCGTCAGACTTTAGGGCAGGATAATTTTCGGATGGATTTCTATCAAGGCTGGGGGGTGAAGTCAACATCCAAGGCGTCCATTCACGAGAATGAAGTGTTGGATGATGACTCGACAAGGACGCCTCTCGGGGACCCTTGAGAGGCGTGGAGTGGATTTATAAGAGAACACCCGGGCCCTCTCAAAAGTTGCAGGGAAGTTTAGACGTTCTGCCCTGGGTTGGGTGTGTTCCGAGTATCAGGTTCGAATCCTCGCGAAGATAGCAAAGGGCATCAGTGAAATTCAGACGGACGTTCCGAGAACAATGGCCAAAGCAGGCGAATCGGATTGTTGATTGTCAAGCTCGTTGCAGGTAGATAAATCGTTGCTGGCCTTGTTATGCCGGGAGAAGCCGCAGGACATAGGCGCACCCAAATGTTCGAAGCCAGGATGTCTTTCGCTCTGTGAATCAACTTCCACTTACAAGAATGGCATCGGCAATCTTTGTGACTGTGACGCGCGAGGGTGGACTTTTGCAGCTGGAATGTACCATGTCACGGGAGTGTTGACAGTGTACTTTGACAGGAGGAACCATCGCGGAATGCTTTCGTACGTGCTCCGGTTCCCGGCAGTGAATGGTTCAAAGCTATGGATACGATGGTCACACGGCGTGACGGCCAATCGACTCCCGATTCCTAGACACGCGATATCAAACCAGTTGTGGTGTTGTGGGCTACCCGACTGTATAGTAGTGTAGTGTACTGTAGTAGTGTAAATATGAAGTTGCGAACTGGGACACGTTGCTTGGACTCGGGACGCCAGAGGTTGATCACTAAGTATAGAGGTTAAGTAAGTACCTACTCGGTCGAGGTTAGATTGTTGTTCCTTGTAGTGTACAGTGTACATACCACATTCAAGTGGATAATGTCAAGTTCGAATGGACCCTCCTTGCTGTTTCCCCGCCGACTTGTCGTGACGGGAGCGCTGAGACAACGGGTTCTGGCCGAACCAGAGGGTACCTAGGTACGTACCTCTACAGTCCCCTATCAAAAATTACAGTACCACGCTGTTTCCTCCCGTGAACATCATCACCATCACCACCTCAGCCCGGGCCACTCTTGACAACAGAGTCCTGTGGTAACCTACGACAGACCACTATACATCAAGTATCACCTTGGTTGGGCTCAAGTGGGACAAAAACCTTCGATTTGTTCTCCATCTGTCACCTCTCCCAAGATGCCCGAAGGAAATGGCGCCCAGCGCCAGCCTGCGCGGCAGGAGGAACAGCAAGGCGTAAGTTATCAATCCAAAGCTGGAGCGGTGTATCATGGAACAGTTTCTGACAGTCTCGGGTTACCCAGTCTTCCATGTTTTCCAAAATCCTCCAGGCCGTTGCAATGTGGGTCTTGATGCAGCTTGTCATGAAGCAGTTTATGGGTGGTGGACAGAACACAGCAACAGTTCAGGATGCAACCGGTCAGACCGTCCAAGTCTCGACAAGCGTACCCTCGTACGACCAGCGCCCTCAACGGCTCGATGATGGTGCAGTCTACAACCGAATCCCCCAGCTCATTGCGCCCATCTGGCCCGAGAACAGCCAGGTGGATATCATAGTCACCATTTCTCCGTCCTTCGTTCCGACCCCGTTGAAGCAGACCTCGGCGGATAAGGTGGTGTTCCAAGAAAAGAACTTCACAATCGGCAACTGGAGTGACGCGCGCACTGAGGAAAGGACCATCGACATTCCCACCGAGGTTCAGAAGAATGGCACGCTTTGGGGGCATTTCTATGTTGGCTTGTCCGGTGCTCTCCTCGACCCGACCCAGCCAAACTACGATTCTGGATCGGCATACCATTTTGTGTGGCCATTAACCCACTACATTCCCCGAAAGAAGGAATTCAAGACCAGGAACCTACTTGCGGGCAAGGAGGATGCTGTTGAGGAGGCGGAGGAGGTGGAAGTAGAGCAACCATCGGGACCCATCATCACCAACTACTACCACCCCAACATTTCGCTCTCCTTCATCCCCAATACCGGTTCTATGCCTTTTGCCCAAACACACCCAGCTGTCCGCCAGTTTCTCCGTCTCGAGGCCACCGGTGCAAGGGACGGCACCGGTCAGAACACTTGGTACTACCCGATCCTCTTTGTCAATACCTTCTGGCAGCTTAAGAGTCAGATGACCATCATCAACGAGACGATCAAGACCATGCCGATGCGCATTGATCTAAACAACCTGGCGGAATGGAAGTTCAAGACCATGGCGTCTATCGACCTCAGCGCCAAGGAAGCGGCGCGTGCGGCGGCTTTCGGAAATCCCCTGACCACGGGCAGCGATGGTAGCGAGATCGAAATGATCAAGGAAATCTTGCTGGATTCGAATCCCATCCTCCTCGGGGTCACTATTTTTGCCAGTATCGCGCACATGATTCTCGAAACGCTTGCGTTTGGTTCCGACATTGCTCATTATCGCAAGAAGAAGGACAACGTTGGCATCTCGGTGCGCTCCATCCTCGCCAATGTGTTTATGCAAACCATCATCTTCTTGTATCTGGTCGACCAGTCGCAGAACACTAGCTGGATGATTCTCGGCTCTCAGGGCGTTGGCATTCTCATCGAGCTATGGAAGATTACGACGGTGGTTAACGTGCGGATTCGGCCTGCACCCGGATCCATCATACCATACCGTATTTCCTTTGAGGACAAGCATAAGCTCAGCGAGACAGAGGAAAAGACCAAGGAGTACGATGAGATTGCTTTCAAGTACATGTACATGGCGGGCGTTCCTCTTCTGATGGCTTATGCTATCTACTCGCTGATCTACGACACCCACAAGTCGTGGTACTCATTCGTCATCGCCACCCTTGTTGGCTCGGTTTACGCCTATGGATTCCTGATGATGGTTCCCTCGCTGTACATCAACTATCGTCTCAAGAGCGTTGCTCACATGCCTGGCAAGGCCATGATGTACAAGTTCCTCAACACCTTCATCGACGACTTATTTGCTTTCACCATCAAAATGCCGTTCCTCCATCGCCTTGCTACTTTCCGCGATGATATCATCTTCTTTATTTATCTGTATCAGAGATGGGCTTACAAGGTCGACTACACCCGTGTCAACGAGTTCGGACAGGGTGGCGAGGATGACGCCGTCGAGGAAAAGAAGGCGGAGGGGCAGAAGGCGGCATTTCCTGCACCGACTGAAGAACAGACTGTGGGAACTACATCCGCGAAGGCTAGCGGAACGGAGACTGGCAAAGCGAAGAAGAGGAAGTGAAGCTGACGGAGGACGATATCGGATTTATCAATGGGAAATGGGGCTCAGCATCTTGGAGAATGGCGCAAAACATCCCAGCAAAGATAGATCAATGTTAATACAGAATGCATTCTTCACCTGTTGGGGAGCTGGTGCTTCTTGTGGGTGCACCCACGGCTGATCAATGAGTGATGAGCCTGTATTGTGAGAGATAGGCGCGTGCCGAACTGCAGTCATAATGTCGTAAAAATATAGGGATGTGTATCGATACCTCCATGTAACAGTCCAAAAGTGTCAATTGTTGTACCCACCATGCTGTCGGTCATTCCCGAGCACCTCTGGTTGTAGGGCTGAGCCTTTGGTAGGTTGCAACCGTTATCCATTGGGTAGTAAGATGCTTTCCCCTCCCCGCCGTCGAAGCTGGAGGCTACAAGCAGAGGTAGATGTCATCGCTAACGGCTGGTTTTAGAAACGAAGGGCTTCCTCAGGGAATCCCACCTAAAATTAACGGAGTCGGATGTAGAGAGGCCTCCATATGGGCCTCTAGTGTACCTACTCTAAGCACCTAGGTAGAAATGCTCCCCGCCAAGATCTCCACGATTTCCACGTTTCGCAAACAAAACCGTCCCCGAACCCCCGTCCCATTCATTTATTACCCATTCAGATGCCCTACTACAGCAGGGGGCCTGGCCCTCCCATCACCAACAATACGAGTCAAAATAACCCTGGTTGATGAGCACCTTGCTGTTCTTTTGCAGGGTTCCGTTTTGAAGAGTTTGGATGGCACCCGTTGTTCCGCTGCCACTGGACACCTACTGCAGCAACTTCTCCCCCGATGCAGCTTCCTGTGTTGCCCGTGTTTGCACGTACTGTAGTGTACAAAACTGAAAGGCGGCGGGCTTCCGGCACGTCTGCCTGTCTCCGCCAAGGAGAGATCCACAGGGCCCTTCCAATAGCCTAGCAGTGCCCGACATACCTAGAGGAGGTAGGTCCCGCCGGCGTAACCGTCGGATCGTATCCAAGCGCCCGGGCCCCGAACCCCCGTTGCACGACGATTCGACATCGATCCATCCCCATTTCCTTCCTGGGCGACCGAGTCTTCCTTCCATGTGATGTTTCGTTCCCTGGCTGGCCCCTTTCTCACATGTCCCACTCTGTGATGAAATCCTTCTTCAGCTCATCCGTACTTACAGCTACCGGATCGGGGCTCGGTGTATCCACTTAATGACGACGCAAGACAACATTTCATCGCTGCGCATTCGTAGATACCTACCTCCTAGACAGATAGTCTCACCTACAAGCCCCCCAAGCTCGACTTCTGTTAGTGACGAGAGTCTCGTTGGTAGTCCAAGTCTACATCTACTCGCGGTCATCTACTGCTATTAAAGCGGCATTGAGCATACGCTAGGCGAGGGGAATCAAGGCCAATAATAAGCGCTTGAACACGACGACACGACGATAACGGCTTAGACAAAACATATCAACGGGAGGAGGTGGAGGGGGATCCGATATCAAGAGGTTATAGCCAGCAAAGCAACCATCGCCAAAAAAAGATATGAGTACAGGTCCCAGCACGAATCACGACACGGTCGGGTCGCTGTTGGCCAGCATTGCGACTCACTTGAGCGACTCACTTCGCGCACTCAGATTTGCCGACAAGCGCCACTGGGGCCCTGACGAGTTTGAACAGATTCGCGCTCTTGAAGAAGCGTTGGATGATGCAAAGACAGATTTTCAGGAACTGGGGCGCTTGGTCAATGGGCAGTTTTACTATGAAGGAGACAGGACTCGTAAGTATATCATGATATCTTGAATCTTTTCTGACCCTCACCGTGCTCTTTCTCAAGCTCACGTCATCTTTCCTCTGCTGTTGGCTGACTATTTCGCCTGGCACTTTCACTCACACGCCTCCTCCACCACTATCATTACTCCTTTCCTTCCCAAAATCCACTCAGATAAAGCTTCTCCTTGCCTGCTCTACCAGCTAACCCTCTCAAAAAGCCGAGTCCCTCAACGAACTGCGCGCCCTCCTGGTCAAATATGAATTCCACGCCCGCAACTACAAAGACTGGATTCGGCAAGGTGGGCCCATCAACCCAACTTGGCTCAGCGAGACCAAGGAACTCCAACTAGAGCTTCACCGCACGCAATGCCGTGCCTCTCGGCGCATATTCGCGGCCGAGCAGGAAGGGACGTGGACACGGTGTCTGGGAGCCTACCAGGTGTATCGCCAGCAGCGAAGAAACGAGGAAGCTGAGCGGATACGGAAGCAGAAGGAGGAAGAGAAGCGGGAAAAGGAGACTAGGGAAGGGGGAAGCAAGCAGAAGGACCTCGAAAGTATACCACCGTGGCAACGACATGAGTATCAAGAACAGCCGCAGCCGCAGCAACAACAGCAATACGGTAAAGGGCCAACGGACGAGGCATTACGGCCGGCGTTGAGAAGGGGGAGGAGGTTAAGCCTTGAGGATCTGGTTCCATGTTGCAACGCGGTTGGGAGGTTCGAGAGGTTTGGGGAGCACGACGTGGCCTTTGTATGCGACTTTTGCGACGGGTTCATCGTCTGGCCGGATCTACAGAGGATGCCATCTACAAGGGCGGCGTTGGATAAGACGAATGGAGGGAGTGCAAGTACGACAGCAAGTATCCCGACGTCAACGACGATAGCGAGAAACTCTCCAAGAAAGCTCATACTACCGACCATAGTGACGGCCTCATATCCAGCAGCAATTCTGCCATCGTCAACCATCACCACCACCACCACCACCACAGCAACAACAAAAGAAGCACAGACAGAGACAACAACAACAACAACAACAGAAAACACATATCCCCACTGGCAAGCCCAAGGCGTAAGCGCCAAAACAGGCGAAGCTAAAACGGTCGTTTTCGCGCCCATAGCAATTGCGAACCACATTGCCCCCGTCCCCGGCGATTGGCTGGCGAGGATATGGTGTCCCTACTGCGACGAATACACGTACGTGGACCAGGGTGAGGACAGCGAGGACGAGGTCAAGTGGGCACAGGACGAGAGGGGGTTCGAGGACTTGGCCAGCTTCCAGGAGCATCTGGAGTGGTATCATACGGCGTTGCCGGTGCCGAGTATACCGACGTTATTGCCAAAGGCGGCGGAGAGTTGTTTGGTTATGTGATTGAGGCTTGTGGGTGCGTGTGCAGGTGGTTCAAGTTTGGGCTTAGTGTGACCAGGGTGTCGGTTTCTGTTCTGAATTGAGAACAAAAAACAAAAAAACAAAAATAGCGGTTTGGAATTGGAGTTTGGGGGGAAGGGCTTCTACTTCAAGTAGGGAAACAGACCGATAGGCTATCTCAGATGAAGATTTTGTATCAGCGCTTGACAGAAACAGCGCGTTGAGCAGAAGAGATGCCGGTCTGGAACGAACCAGGAGATACGCATGATTGAGCATCGGTGACACTGTGGTACAGTCGTCCATAGAGACCTTGTCAGGCTTTACGAAGGCATCGGATGAAGGAGTGGAAAGCAAGAACCTATAAGCAACATGTCTTGATAGCTGAAACCTCACCTGGCCAAACGTCCTTTTGCGTTCGCCCCCCTTTCCCCCCAACCTCCTTTACCCAAACTCCATGCTAGGTCAAGCGCCAAAAAACCAATGCCGCACAAACACATATTAGAATAATTACAGAATCCACGTAGGCTATCCGTCACAGCATCATACAGAGCCAGGCTGACTGAGGAAACCCACCCGACGGTATCATGTTAACCCGCTGCCGGTGATGCTCCCTGCCTGGGATGCACTCAAAAGAAGAATCTCCACCACAAGAAGAAGATGATAATGGAACCGACCGCCGCAAACGGGCCGTACTGCTTCAGCAGCAAATCCCAGTTGATCTTAACAGCCGCCCTCTTGTACTTCTTGCTATCGTCCCTCAGCCTACTGCTCAGCTCGCCCATGCGCTCCAGGCTGTCGCCGCGGTACAGCAGATCCTCAATGTTCTTGGTCATGACTTTGGTCACGTCCCTAAGCTCATCATGCAGCTTATCCAGGTTCTGGGTCGCACGCGTGTCGCTGTAAGTCGCCTTGGTGCGGCTGATGAAGCTGTCAAAGTCCATGAAGGCATAGGGCCGCAGCGTCGGGTTCATGAGCTGTGCCGGGGTGTGCGTCGTCGCGAACTCGCCCGCAATGTCGGAAAGGTAGGTGAAGGCTAGCTTGCGCGGGTACGACCGGTCCGTAATGGCGAAGTATACGATGTCGGACTGAATCAGGTAGTGCAGGGTATAGAGAGAGCCGCTCTCAATGCTGGCTTGCGGTTCCGAGGTGCGCGTTAGGCGGCGCAGAATTAGTTTGACTTGGGACTTGACTTCGCTGAGGGAGGATTCAGTTGCTTCGTCGTCGACGGAAGCGCAGAGCATGAGGCCTGTGTTTTGAGGGGAGGGGTCTTGGTTAGCTACCAGACAGGACATTGACACCTCCATGGGCACACAGATGTTGGTCGAGGGGGTTAGTTAAGGGGGGGGGGGGGGCACGAACCATCCAGCCGTGCAATTTGTGTTGAGCGGATCATTGTGAAGAATATGTTATATCACTCCTTTTTCATTGTGTTGTATTTCGGTGACCTTTAGTATCGTTGTGCAACTCGAAATCAAGGCCAGTTCAGTTGCGTGCTTGGATTTGTTAAGTTGGTGTCGTTGGAGAGGAGAGTGAACAAGGGAAGGTTTATAAAAGCTTGTGATGACGAGTGGGATTGATCCGTCAAAAGCAGTCAGGTACGTGGCTTCTAGGTACCTACCGCAACCAACTCGCACCGACGATGGCATTCTCTCGTTGCATGCTTTCTTTCCCTGTCGACCAGCAGACCAGATTGTATCTGGCTATCCCTTTTCTTATATTTTTTTCTTTACATCGCTAGGTATATGAAGAAAACAAAACATCACCCGTAGGTAGAGTGATGCAATGATTTCGCCAGGCCAACGTGTGTTTCCTTACCTAGAGGTAGGCACCTAGCACCTAGGTAGGTAGGTATCAAGGATTGGTCGTTATACGGGACATTGATGACGGTCCTGGCGCTGGAAATGTGTTGAAAGTTCACCCTGCAGGGCCTGCAAGTTAGTTTTGTTTAGGCAGTTAAATAGTGCAAGTAGGCAGTCTCGCCCGGCACGCTAGGTATTCACGCCTACTATGCAGTATGTACAAGCTACCTACCTCTAGCTTCCCGGGTGTGTCATGCAAGTGCCCGGCTTGGCGCCTTCAGCTTCCATCCCCACCCATCCTGTCCATCACACAACAACTTGAAGAAGGAGCATCTTCAACCGAACAATATCGGGGAAGGGGAGCTGGAGGTGGATTATCTACTTACCTAGAGGTACCTATCATTCACTACAGTCGGTATATCCCCCCTCCCAGTTCAGGTTGATGGTTAGATTCAGTTCTACCTCGTTCCCTCGCACATCCTCCCAACCTTGCGCGTCGACTTGTTCTCTGGGTAGTACCACTTCAGTTCGTTTCGTTGACCACAATTTCACCTGAACGTATCTCTTTCTCTACTTTATAAACCCCCCACTTCTCCCCTCCCTTCCACCAGACATCAGTTTGTTCGCAGATGTAACCACAGTCATATCAGCCGCATGAACCATCATTGACTTACGAAAGACAGACGGTGATTTTCACGGCGCCATTCTGCCAGTTTCTGCTATCTGGTATCGTTTAATATCACAACAACTAAGTAGTTCCGGATCTCTCTAGATCCAGATCTGACTTGACGGTCATTTTCCTTTGCCGGCAAACCCACACTGCCGCGTTCGATCACTCCTTGAACAACTTCAACGCGCAAGATTTATCTTCCCAGAAAGGCGACTAACTGAAGGTGTTCTGAAGGATGGCTGAAGAAGGAAGTAGTTCTCCGCTCTCCTCCGTCCTCTCTTCTCCTCCGGTCTCACCTCCCCGGAGCGTAAGTGGGGACTGGAATGCTATTCATGCCCAAGAGATTGATACTGCTGCGCGGGTGGTTTTGGAGGAGATAGCAGCCGAAGAGTCAACGGTCGAGGAACCAGCAGTCGAGGAACCAGCAGTCGAGGACCCAGCAGTCAAGGAACCAGCAGTCGAGGACCCAGCAGTCAAGGAACCAGCAGTCGAGGAACCAGCAGTCGAGGACCCAGCAGTCAAGGAACCAGCAGTCGAGGACCCAGCAGTCAAGGAACCAGCAGTCGAGGAACTAGCAGTCGAGGAACCAGCAGTCGAGGAACCTACAGTCGAGGAACCTACAGTCGAGGAACCTACAGTCGAGGAACCAGCAGTCGAAGAATCAACAGTCGAGGAACCAGCAGTTGAGGAACATACAGTCGAGGAGCTAGTAGTCAAGAAGCCAGCAACCAAAAAGCCAGCAACCAAAAAGCCAGCAACCAAAAAGCCAGCAACCAAAAAGCCAGCAACCAAAAAGCCAGCAACCAAAAAGTCAGCAACCAAAAAGCCAGCAGTCGAGCAAGGACATGTCAAGGAGTCAGAGGTTCAAGGACCTGAAGAACCTGAAGGAGAACCGGCCACGCCGTTGGCGGCATCAAGTGCTTGCCCTGAAAACAAGACAGAATTTCGACCATCTGATCAGTTAGAAGCTCGGCAACCAGAAGAGAAAGCGTCTACATCCTGGGCCGCCATAAATCTCCCACCACAGAAACTACGATCAGTCGATAAACCAGAAGTTCCAACACGTGAAGAAGAACCAACCGCCCCATCAGCTGCGCCAAGTTCCGTCCCCAAGAAGAGAAAATCATTGCCTGAAGCAGTCAGTTTTAAAGGAGGTGTGGCTGATTCACGCAATATCCTCAAACCAAAACTGACGAGGGGCGCGTGTACTCCTTGCCGTGAGAACAAGCTGAAGGTTGGTCGGAAACTCTGGATATTCCCCGATTGTTTTTGTGTCTGACAGCTGCGATAGTGCCAAAAAGAGAAGCCAATCTGCTCACGATGTTCTGGATCTGGCACGCATTGTGTTTATGCTTTTGAACAGCCGCGAAAAGGAGTTTCAGCAGCGGCTCGCCCAGTTTCGTCCAAGGCCGAGGCCGTTCCAGCGGATGTGGGCGAGCCAAAAGCTTTGAGTCCGCCGGATGCGCATGCGGATTCGGCAGTACAGGACCTGGAGGTTGAGAAGGAAATCGCCACACCGGCAATCAAAGCAGCAACAGTCGCCGATTCCTCGATCAATGGACAGGGCTTCAAAGGTCCGAAAAATGAGGACCCAAGTACAGTGACGAAAAGGGCACGCAAAAGGACAAGTGGGCAAACGCCAGAGGAAGCCGCCCTTAACAACGATGCATGGAGTTCGAAAGTTACACGTCATTCTGGAAGCAGTGATGAGCAGTTGGGTACTGAGCTCGGAAAGCGTAAAGCCTCGGACCAGGACAAATCTAGCACTGCCAAAAGGCCACGACATGCCGGAGAAGCGCCAAAGAAAACAAACCTGGACAGAAAGTGGGGAGCACCTTTCGTCTATACCGATGAGAAATCACCTCTTACCAATGCTGATCTCAGAGTTCGTACCTCTTCCCTCTCATAAAGTTATCCCACATCCATGATCTGACACTTGACCATAGGCGATCCTACTGCTTCCGCGAGCATGGGAGGTGTTGACACCAGATGAGAGGAAAGACATCCTCGCTAAATTCCCCGACGACAGCCATATCTTGGACCCAGGGACCGAAATTGCCCGACCGGATCTTGTCTCCTTGCGCAACAATGATCACTTCAGATACGATTGTGCTCGCTACCTCGAAAACATTGAGCGGGGTCGACATGATGAACAATGGCTTCAGGAGGCCTGGGTCGCTCATGAAAAGCACAAACGAGGCGATTATGACGATTTTCTGATAAAGGAGTTTGAGAACGACTGGGCGACAAAGATACCAGAGGAGTTGCTTCAAAAGACCAGCCGTAAGAATGAGACGCTCGAGACAGATGCTACTGTAGCAGTGTCCGAGAACAAGGCAATAACAAAGGAACAGCACAAGGGTAAAGTTCATGTTCGCACATGACAACAATGTTTCGATGCTAATTGAATGCCAGCTCTTCCTGGACGCACCAAGAGCGCTTCAGTGATACAAGAAGTACCTCCTGCCGATACAGCATCTGTTGTTATGGCCGAGACGAATACAAGCCATATCGCTGATTATCACCCCAACGGTCATGAAAAATCCGATACGAACGGGGCACGGTATACCGAACTACGGTTCGAAGTACCACACGAGGTTGATTGATGCTTCTTCGAAGCAATATAACACAGAATACCAGCGAGGAAGACGTATGCCGATCTTCGTCTATGACGGGTCCCGACTTTGAAGCACCGCCGCATCTATCAGTAATTAATATACCATCCCAACTATAAAGAATGTACAGATCTCAGTCACTTGAACGAACTTGGACGGTAATTAGGGAAGCGTAAAGTGACCACAGTCGCAGGATAAAGATCCAGGGCCACGAATACATGATGATAACTGGAAAAGCGCAATTTACGGCGGAGAGGACATGCGTAGAGTCAGGCTTATGTAGTATCCAACCCTTTTTCGGCACCCTATTTCGGAAACATGGACAATTGAGCGTTGAAATACGGATTGAGGCCGGAAGAGAGAATCACAGATGTCTGCCAGTTCCAAGAGGTTTGATGGATAATTAACAATACCCATTCAAGTGGGTAGACGAGTAATATCAAGCGAGAAAACTTCGCGTATGCAACAATGACTAGGGCACTCATAGTAACCAAAGCTTGTCTATAGTGATGATAAGCGTTCTGGTATGTTGAAGTTGGTATATAAATAGCTGAAAATGCAGTAAATTCCAACAATCACTACGACAGTTGTTCACAACTGTAATTCTTCCGTAGTATAGTGGTCAGTATGTGAGCTTGTCAAGCTTGAACATCAGTTCGATTCGCTCGAGACCCGGGTTCAATTCCCGGCGGGAGAGACCATCGTTTATTTTTGTACAAAGCTTCTGCTCGCACCCTTCACACCTCATCTTCTTGGGTTCGTGATCTTTTTTGTTTTCGATACTATATAACACCTCATTATCCTTCTCAGTTGATTCCCTTTCTTCTACATACGGTATATAAACGGGTGTTGTAATGTGAATGGTGGCTGCCGAAAGTTTGCGATAACCGCAACCATCTTCGCAGCCCTAAAATCGGTTTCTTGGCCAGCACTTCAGTCTTCCCACAATCAACAAGCAAGAACTCGAAATCCTGACGCAACACGTTGTCAAGGTACTTGATTTAATCAAACTTCCTCGTTATCCCCTCTGCCAGACCCACGAGCCTCGTCTACATACATTTCAAGGTCATCTCGACTAGGCGTCAACATGGCGCCCTCGGCTCAAACGCATCATCGCTCCCACAGCCTGCTGCTCTTTCAGAAGCTGCTGAACCTTCGAGACAGCGCAAGCCCACTCACACTTATTCTCGATACCCTTGAGCAAGGTGCGAGACCTCTTTTACAGGAATTCATCAACAGAGGCAAGGTAAGGATTTCTTTCCCCGATGGTGTTTGCGCTTTATTAACCAACACGCGCGTAGCTTGCCCGAAGTAAAATACTCTTTGTGTCATTTACTACTGCCAGGAAGCCCCGCAATGTCGACATCTTTATAAAGGCCAGGGGCAGGTCAGTCACGGCTCTCATAACCGAGATCGCCTCACATTGTGCTCCTGTCAACAGCCAAACACCCAAAGACACTGCAACAAACTCCCAGAGTAAGTGCAGTGTATGCACCATGCCAGTACAGAAACATGTTCTAACATTACGTCAAAGAATGTTTGATCGTGGTTGACTCGCTTAACCCCCTCGCCTCCAAACAGCCGCACGTCCTTCCCCTCTTCTTCGGCAGCATCATCAACCCGTTCGCCTCCCTCGTCGCCGTGTACCACAACGACGTACCTCTCGTTCTTCCCCGAACCGTCAATGAGTACGAACCCCACCCGCTCACCCTGCTGTCACACATGGCCACCGCCGTCTTCAAAGTGTCAAGTCTCTACCAGGCCGTCGAGACCAAGCGGGCGCAAATGCGGAGTTTGCGCGAGCCGGAGTGGGGGCTCCACGAAGGGCGTGAAGGCGTGCTTGTTGGCTTGCGGACGGGCCACCAGCCCGAGGGACTCGTGGTGGAGATGGAGATGAGGAGGCGCAGCGGGAGAGCCGTGGCTGAACGGTTCATTCTCAGCCCATCAAGAGGCGGTGCCGGCGCGAGTCTGTCACTGCTTTCGGACCACCCGCTGTTTGCGCCAGCGAAGGACGCGGAGGGCGGTGCGGAGGGGGAGATGGCGGATTCCACGTTCAATTTGGGGTTGACGGAGAAGCAGAGAAATGACAGGGAAGGGATTGTGTTGCCGTACTTTGACGCGCAGACAGAGGTTGGTGGAGGAGAGGGGGGGCGAATCCTGTATGACATGGGGAGGGAAGATGATTTTGATGAGGAGGAGGACGAGATTTGAGTAAAGCCTGATCAACAAACTGATGTTGTCGCCGTCTTAGAGTCGACCAGGGGAGTGTATGTTGTGCATAGAGATTTTACAGTCATTCAGCTGGCATGATGAGGTTATATTGAAAAGGTACCTCTACTGTATCTTTGTCCAGTTCTTGATCCTGTACTCCCACATTGACTAGCTCGATAAAGCTAATCGCCTGAAAAGCAGAGTTACGAAGAAAACGGATGTCGCAGAAAGTCCGCACATTGACCGTTCGATTCTTGTCCTCAAGCTCAAACTGTTCAGTCCTTGGACACCCCCTGGGACTGAACCAATGGTGCTTCTACCGGGATAACGAAAAACATTCGAGCAGGACGTAACCGTCAGAGCATTGAGAACCCTGAAGGCCTTGAACCGAAGGGAAGTTGATCGCGGGGTGGTGGGGTTAGGTGCCAGGGTCCAACGCTTATCTTATCGCTAAACCCAAACAGACTCCACAAGATCGGCGCCTGGGCCGCCAAGCTACAACGGCCTGCAGCTTTCGCCTGGTTTCAGCCGGCCTTTGTTTACACCATGTATTGAATGCTCTAGAATTTCCCCGTACAACGTCATCAAGAACACACAGTTTCCGGTTGAACTTATACATTCTTCCCCAACAAAACCATAGACATTCAACACTTGCGAAACTCGAGCACAAAACATGGCAGATAGACACGCTCGTAACCCTCACCGTGGGGGCGCGAGAGACTACAGCGACAGAGACAGACACGGCAGAGACAACCGCGAGCGAGACCGAGATCACGACCGTAGCCGTGGTCGGGGAGGAGGCAGGGGTGGCCGAGACGATCGAGATAGAGACAGCCGACGATACAGGTCCCGATCCAGAGATAGGCATGGTCGTGACCATGACCGTAACCGCAGGCGCTCGCGCTCCCCGGTTCGCGACAGAGATGGGCACGATCGACGCGACGACTGGGCTAGAGACGGAGGTAGAGGAGGCCGGCGTGGCGGTCCTAAAGACTCTCGCCGTGATCGAGATGACGTCGTCAAGGATGGTATGAGCAAACCAGACAGAGGTGCGTTTGGCAACCGAACCCATCCCCATCGCAGGACTGTCCTTGGTTCGTAACCTACACCGACCGGTAACTGACACCCCAAAAGACAGAAAGATCCGCCGCTCAGCCTCACCGCTCCGAGAGCCAGAACCACACATGAAATCTCCACGGAGTCCCATACAAGCAGCAGCGCACGACGATCACCGTCTTTCGATAAGGTCGAAATCTGAGAACGTCCCAGCTGCTACGACACCAGCACCGGCACCCGTGTCGTTCAAGGTCACGGGACACGACCAACGCCGACCCGACAGCACACATGTGGAGGACCAGCAGCAGCATCAGGCGTCCCGGGAGCGGACAGAAGAGCACGAAGAGGAGCATATTTCGAGGGGAAGGTTTGATGCAGATCCTATGGACGAGGACGAGGAAGAAGACGTGATTGTTGAGGACGATGGCCTTGGAGACATGGCTTCCATGATGGGCTTTGGTGGTTTTGGAACTACCAAGAACCAGAAGGTCAAGGGTAATAATGTTGGGGCGGTGCGGAAGGAGAAGAAGACAGAGTATCGCCAGTACATGAACCGTGTCGGCGGTTTCAACAGGCCCCTCAGCCCGAGTCGGTAGTGCTGAGGAGACAGGATTGATTACATCGCCCAAGAAGAGAATGGCATGGCAGGAGTTTTAGGGCAGTTTGGTTGATTATTATCGTATAGCCGGTCTGATACCCAAATATCGTTCATCGTTTCCACTTTGGCCTTGGTTTAGGGTCGTGTCGTCTCGATAGCTTCTACCAGCTATAGAACACAGAAGGAAATTTGGCATCTCATGCGCGCTGTTACTGGGGAAAAAAGAAAAGAAAAGAAAAGAAAAGGAAAGAAAAGACATACAGACATACAGACATTAATGCCATCTTGTACAGCTGGAAGCAATCGTTCCATCTGGTCACCCTGATTCGCATTGCTATCCTTTTGTCATTGTTTGGTCAGGGGAAGGTACAACGCCATTTCACATCAATGCCTAAAAGGGTTAGGGTTGACGGTGGTACAATAACTTTTCTCTCGTTTTCTTGGTGAAGCCTCTTTCCTCCTTCGATTTGCAAATCGAAATTCACCCCGCTGGCATTGCAAACCTTAGTTTTCCCCTCACACTTTCGTTCTCACGAATATCCAAAGTTAAGAGCCCGACAATTTGACGGAGAAAGGCTTTTCTTTAAATCGGTACAATCCTATCCACCACCAACTAATCACTCCCTCTGATTCACCCAAGGATCACCTCACTAAATGTCGATATCTAGATTTCATCCCCAGTCTTCATCAAAATGAGCGCCTCAAAAGCAAAAGACAAGGCATCCACCGCTGATGTGAGCAAGAAGGACAAGAAAGACAAGAAGGAGAAGAAAGCTTCCAAGACCAAGGAGGTCACTGCTGCTTCTGAGCCGGCTGAAGTCATTGCGGAGACCGAGTCGGCCTCCAAGAAGGAGAAGAAGTCCAGGAAATCGAGAGATGACAGCAGCAGACAGGATGCGAAACGCAAGCGTGAGGAGGATAACGACGATATGGCAAAGAACAACGATGAAAAGGCTGCTGAGGACGAGGTGAAGCCCTCCAAGAAACGCAAATCGGAGGACAAGTCCAAGTCCAATGACAAGGATGAGAAGAAGGAGGAGAAGAAGACGAAGGACAAAAAGGACAAGAAGCGGAAGCATGGCGATCACTATAGCGACGAAGAGGAGGAACAGAAGGACGAGCCAATCGTCAAGGTCGCCAAGATTGTAAAGGGGGAGGGCCTTGGATCTAACAAGGCTGAGAAGGAGAAGAAATCTAAGAAAGATGCCAAGAAATCCAAGGGCGAGAAGGAGAGCAGCGACAGCAGCGAGAAGAAGCACAAGGAGAAGAAGGAGAAGAAGGAGAAGAAAGACAAGAAGAGCAAGACTGATAAGGAGGAGGAGGAGGAGGAGCCCGTTGTGGAGAAGGAAGAGAAGACTGAAAGCAAGAAGGAGTCCAAGAAGTCAAAGAAGGAAAAGAAGGAAAAGAAAGAAAAGAAGGAGAAGAAGAAGGGAGACGAGACCAAGGCTACAGAGGCCAAAGAATCGACAGCTACTTTGGCCGCTACCACCACCACAATCCCCAACCCCGCCGCAGTACTCGCAGCCAACTGGAACGTCAACGCGCTCGACGGTGGCGCATCTCGCCAGTCCAAGATGATGAGGTTGCTCGGCGGCAAGAAGCTTGCTGCCGACGGTGCCGCCGCCGCTGCGGCAACGAAGAAGACGTTTGATGTCAACCAAGTGTCTCAGGAGCTTGAGCAGCAGTTCAAGGCCGGCATTCACCAGAAGTTCGAGACGGGTGGTCAGCGACGCGGTTTGGGTGCATAAGGCGGGCAGTCGACGATGATGATGCCCTGTTGGGGTGTGGGGGGGTGCTGTTCGCAGCAGCAGGTGCCGGCATTCGTGAGCATAACTCGAAAAACTATAACAATGATGGAAGTAATCACTACGGGACTCGCAATCAAGACCGATCCCTTTTGCAGTTGTTGGTTTGCAACAATGTTTGGCTTTGAAGAGTTCAAGCTAATTGCTGCTAGCAGAAAATGGGGGAAAGAATGCCCTTTGTTCTGTTTCCATGACCTCCAAATCAGTTCCCTGGCTCCTTTTTCATTGCCCGTATTACCCGTGGTATATATATATATGTGTGTGTGTGTGTGTGTGTGTGTCTGTTACATGCGCTTTCGCTCAAACCAAGCGCTCAAAAGATTTCCCTTCTGTCCCTTCCTCCTCTTGCATTCTCCTGCTCCCATATTGCTTATGCGGATGTCATCGTGACAGCTTCCCCCATGCTCTTCGGGTTTATTGGCCAATCCTGATCGGCGTCAGGGGCAGTGTATTTCTTCAGCCCTCGACAGCTCGTTTCATTCCTCCGTACTGCTAAGCAACCGTAGTTATAGACAGCCTGTCTAATATCGGTGGGTTGGAAAGGATGGTGATCATTTTGCGATGACCACGGTAGTATCCCCGTGCTTAGTTGAGGAATAGACGCGAAAGAACTTCGAAAACGAGACCGCCGAATACGACAAAGCCGAGGACAACTGGAGAAATGAGTTGACTGTTAGTCAAACCAGTGCGTTATGATTTGTGGCTGAGGAGGTGCTGGATGGCCGCAATGGTTCTTCTTACCGAGCCAAAACATTGAGACAGGGGACTTGGGCGCCTTTTCTACGCGCTTCTTGATTTGGTCCTCGGATTTTCCACGACGGGCCTCCTGGTCCTTCTGGAACTTAAGGTTCGCTCGCCTTTGCTGGGGTGTTTGCGCCTGGTTGGAGAAAGGGGGTTAGCAAGGTTGGAATCGATACGCTGCAACTTTTCTGTCCCATTCTATATTGTTTATTCGTGAGAGATGTCGAAGGGCTGAAGCGGGCGTGATCGTACCATTGCGTCTGTTGACTGTGTGTTTGTGTGTTTGGAGGGATGGGAATGGAGATGCGGCGAATGGCTGGCGATGTTGGCGCGGAGAAGCAGTCGGGCAGTTAATGCGTCTTATTATGTTAAGAGATGCGACGATGATGGTTGAAGTGGTGATTGATCCCTGAGTGGCGCAAATAATTACAAATTGATCTCGAAGGGTCGCTGGTCGCCTACATCAAAGGGGGAGCTTTAATCGATTACGATTTTGGGGACAGATTGTCCAATGCACACTAAGTAATGGACTTCAGTTTTAGGTACACGAAGCGAAAGTGACCAGCTGCACCTTCCCATCCAGTTGGGGGCAGATCTGGCCATGTGTCGTTGACAGCACTTGCCTCAAACTGCCCTGTCCGCTCCCTGAGGTTCCCCTCAATGCCCTGTCGAACACGCCTGGCGCGTGGGCCGCATTCCAGCACCTCAACGAGGGGATCCCTGCAGCAGACGATCCCTCAAATTATAGTGTACTAGGGTGATTGCCGCTAACTGCCCGCTACGGCTTAGCGGCTTGCGGCTTGCGGCCCGGGTATGAACCGTCCGTCCGGAAGGGCGAGCACCGCCCGTCGCCTGGCGATTTTCGACGACGCCGACGGAACCTCCGAGCGGCTGTGGGTATCGCCAATTCGTGGCCCGTTGCATACGAGACCCGTGCATGGCTTTGAGTCTGACCAATTTCATACACATACATTGTGAATTTGTCTTCCATCTTGGTAATCCCCGATTCGCGAACAACGACGTCATAAAACAAAAAAATCCTCTCTCGCTTCACATCACTTTGAAGTGGGTACAGCCTCATATTCAAGAAGGGAATCAATCAACTACCCAGCCCATCAAATCAAGCAACATCAACAAAAACATGATTTCCAGGACCGCGGCCGGTAGTGCCATTCGCACTCTCACCAGGACTACTACCCAGAACACCAAGCCCTTGCCCAGGACATATCTTCAAGCTCAAGCTCAACTGAGGCAATACTCTTCGAACCCGCCCTCGGCAACGGTAGGTCACTGTAACCTCCTCAAGATTTCGAACCAACCACTAACAGCAAAAAACAACGAGTAGGGCGTATTCTACAAGACCTTCACCCGTCCAGTAGCCAAGTGTCTACTCACTGCTTTATTCGTCTACCAGGTCGTCTACTGGGGATGGTCAAAGCTGGAGGTTGATGAGATCAAAGAGGAGCGCCAGGGTGAGTTTTCATTTTGTGCCCCCTTCCCGATCATGTCCTCCCTTCCTTTTCGTCCACCCCACGTGTCTCAGTACCAGTATCTGTTACCGGCTTGGATTGAAAGAGAAAAGAGACAGACACTCACACGTTATGAACCATCTCAGCTGAGATAACCAAGCTTGAGGCTCAAGTACGGGCCTTGCAGGTGAAGAAGGAAAAGGAGGCGGAGGCTGCTGCTGCTGCTGCTGCTACCGCCATTGCTTCGAACACGGGAGCATCCCCAGATTCTCAAAAGAAGAAGGGCTGGGGCTGGTGGTGATGAGGATGATGCTGAAGGAAGATGGCGAGGTGTGGACGTACCCTTTCGAAGAGATTGAGAGCATATAGATGTCTTATGCGCACTTCGAGGCTGGGGTGCTCTTGAAATATTAAGAGATTCGTCTACCTTTTTGATACATACGATCGGAAGCATCTTCGTGCCAAGTATTATCAGGCACATTAATACCATTAATATATTATACATTTTGCGAAGCCATGGCCTCTTGATTTCCTGGTTGAACACTGTGTTTTCTTTGCATGCCCATCAACCTGCGTCGCATTCTCCCCCATACATTGGTACGCCCACATTGGCGAGAATGAAACCACCTCCGGGCTTCATTCCTTTTGGGTATGAACTCAGCATCCAGCGCCTCGTAACACTCCCTCTACATCGTAACCATTAGCGCAATCAGTAACTTCCCATCTCTTTGTATTGTATGTCTGTCCAATCCGTAGGTACCACAAGGGAAGCAAGTGCATGAGCACTCTCCAAACGCTCTCCAACGCTATATCCACCAAACCATAAGGTGTTGATTCGTACCAAAGATACCTACAATTTTTTTTTATCTACGCACTTTGATACAAGCCCTTTAGAGAAACGACCCAAGCGCGCACAACCAGATCATCAAGCAGCATAAAGACCGTCAAACGCCAAAACCAAACCCCTTCAACACCGTCCCAGCTCGCAAAAGGACCAGCAGCGCCACTAGCAAGCGAGCAATAGGCTCACTAATACCAAAACAACAATGGTCAGCCCTACCGAGACTGCATCCTTTGACGAGCCTGAAAAGATGTGTGCCGAGCCCGGATAGTTACACACGACCTCGCCATTTGTTTCATTCTTGATATAGTAGCTCGAATTGAACCCCTTCTGGCCAGGCAGCGGGCAGCCGAAACCCATGGACGACGGACAGCTTTGGACTAGTCTGTAGCACAGGTAATCGCAGGGCAAGACCTCCTTGTACGGGCCGGGTTTGATAAACTCATCGATCCGCGAGCTGCGGCTCTGGAGGAAGGCCTTGCCCAAGACCTTGCCGTCGCCATAGTTTTCTGCGTACAATGACATAGTCACATTGTCGAGCCTCTCGCCATCGGGGAACGGCTGGCTCATGGCTCGCGGGTGCAGGTAGCTGGCATTGTTACTAAAATCCTCGCAGCGCGGAATGGTCACGGAGCACAGCCAGTCCTTGTACGCGGCCTCGCAGTCACTGCAGTTCCGGGTGAGCGAGTAGCGCTGGGTCACCGGCGCTTCGCAGGCGACCTGGGCCAGTGCCTTTTTGAAATAACCGTATGCTTCGGCGGCGTAGTCATCGTAGAACTTGGCCAGAACAGAGGCGTTGCCAAAGTTTGGGTTGCTGGGGACCGAGTAGGCTACCTGGTCACAAAAGGTAAGATTCAAGACGATGTTGCAGTTTCCGTGATCTGCTTGTATTAGCTCCTGAGCCTTGGTCCCGACCTGGCTGGATCCTGGATTCCTGGATAAGAGCTTACCGGACTTGGTTTGGAAATTAGTGGCTTTGAAGACGTGGCCGCCACCTCCAACGACATTCGGACTTCCTGTGTCGGTCACATTGGTCTTGGCCAGGATCCCAAGATAACTGGTACTTGGCTTCAGCCCGCTGAAGAAGAACTGCTGCTTAGGAAAGTTGCCCTGTCCTCGCTTCGTCATGCCTGTCTGGACCATGTTCGAATACTTCCCGTCCTTTGTAGTTGCAATCTGGGCATTTTGTTCGAGGCCGCAAAAGGAATATTTGACACCGTTGATGGACGGATCAGACTTGTCCTGGGCGAACATAACGTATGGCGGCGTATTCATAATCCGCTGTTGCTCCTTCTCGTCGTTACTATCAGTCAAATTATGAGTGATGAGCAATGCGCCCTGGGAGTCGCTATCAACCCAGATCAGATCAGCATCGTCATCCACGTTATAGCTGTAGTAATAACCGTCCGTGGAGATGGCGATCTTTATGTTGTAAGGCTTGTCGAAGATTTCCGCCACGTTGGGCGCATGTACACCCACATATACGTCGGTCGTAGTGGTGAAATTGTACATGATAGCACCCTCATTGAATACCATCGACACTTGAGAGTTCGAATCCGCGCCCGGGCCTGGTTCCACGTTATCGGTCGATGTTGACACATACAGTGTCAGTTGCGGTGGAGGCTGTGTTGTCTTGGTCGCATTGAATGCTTGAGGTTGCAAGCATGTGTTTGCAGAAAGAAAAAGCCGACGAGCACCCTGTTGCCGTTTCCCCAGCTTCTGTTCCGCGGAGGCAAGATTCAAGTCCACAGAATCTCTGTCTAGGCCTTTTCCACTCAAGTCATCGTTATCCTCCTCTTTCTCATCCTCTTTAGCTTCATCTTCATCTTCGTCTTGATCTTCCCAGGTATGTTCTTCATCCCTCAGCTCCAATGATGCAACCTGCAGTTCCCGCTCGGACAGCTGTGACAGCTTAAACACGAAGCGCTCCGTATCCCCCTGACGAACGTTCAACTGAAAAGCCTCGTTGTTTATCAAGGTATTGGTGTCTCGAACTTGATCACGCCCGATGATACTCCTATCGAATGCGGCAAACTCGGGTTCGTACATCTGGTCGAGCGGGCTTCCCAAGTCTGAGACGGAACCTTGGGAAACGTCGAGGTCGGAGTCGACATCGTCTAATAGCAATATGGGCGGTGCATCTTCGAGCTCGGCCGCGAGAGCACAATCCAGAGAGAAAAGAGTGATGTGGAAAACGACGAGAAGGGATACTGCGATAAAGGACGCCGCCAAGCGCGAGTGCAAGGGGCCGAGGTGCATCGCAAGCGCGCGCCCTCGAGAAGGGGCGCCGTTCGTGAGCGAGGATCTATTCAGACTTGTCGCCAATGTCAGGCCATCGATCGAAAGATCGGTTAGCGCAAACAAGGACAAGGGAATGCCCGGGAGAAATACGACAACGGCTCCTTGATGTTCTCCGGTCTGAGGTTGTCCGTTGGTGTCACTGGACGAGCCACTTTGATCAGGACACTACGGCTTCCTCGACTTGCTGGCGTTGAGCCGTCCGATGTTGTAAGCTAGAGTAGCGTTCAAGCTGAACCAGAAATTGGGATCTTGTTCAACACGTGTAGGCGATGGAATTCGATCAAGTAACCCGAGGCAAGTCGAAGTGCCAGGGGTTATCGCCGTCGTTTTCGGTTTGGGTTCGATTAGGGTATTAGATGGATAAAAATCGGGTTCCGAGTTGCTGATTCGTATGTGGCGGAGGTGGTTTCTTGGGATTTGAGCGCGCCCAGGCTGTTTCTGCCTTTTCCAATCTTTTTCGATGCCAGCGCTAATACCTAAGGTAGGTACAATTAACGAATGTTTGAGGTCAGCAATTATGGTTTCCCCTGGGTTTCAAGTTTCACCCGCGGCCTCGAAACGAGCTGAAGCAGGCGCGCTCGAGGTCGTCAAGACAGAACATCAGTGGATGTTCTTGATTGCTGTGGTCAGCAACTGCCTGGGCAATTTTTGGCAGGTGGCTACCACTGGAACTAGTAAGTAGGTTGTTAGTGTCAAGTACCGTTAAAGGTATTGTGGTACCGTGACGCTAAGTGTAGAGAGAGGGGTGCGTGTGCCGATTACTGTGTACCTCTAGGTTTTGTATCTGCTTAACAGAGCTCAAAGCTCGAGCCATCCGATACCTACCTCTAGATAGTGTTGTACATCCTGTCGAGCTGTAGTTTTACTGGCAGCAGCCATCCAAAATGATGGCTTCTAGTGGATTTCTCAATCACGGAAAACAGCAGTGTCGTTGGCCTTCCGCATACGGTACTTGTAGTCACATGAAGAGATATTGCTCACTTCGGCGAAGAGAAAATTGAGGTAGCGCGGATATGCTTTCTATACGTCGTCTAGATGTCAACAAAACCCGTCCTAGGCTGTCCTGGCCAGCAGACATACATTGCAATCATGTGATGTGTCCCATTGCTTCGTCTACACGATGGCCAGCTATGGCCCTTTCACGTCGAATACGTCTCAGTGTTTCAGTGATAGCAACCCAAATGCAAGGAATGCTTTCATTGCTGCCACTTATTCAATCGTTAGATACCAAATATGCCCCTACTTCTCTAGACGCATCAGGCTCAATCATCCTGCCACCATCTTCTGTAACCACATGTCCTCTTATAACCACCTCATATCCCCAACATTTCCAGTTAACAAACTATCCCTCTACCCCGATTTTGTTGTGATAATCTTGCACGCGCGTGACTGGTTGCCAACAAGCCCAGCGCAAAGACTTGATGGCCGTGCATCTATCTGCCTGTCTATTCTCGGGCCTCATTCAAAGCGGCACACTTTGTAACGAGCGGAAGAGGCCCGGCAGTTGCCCATGAGACGCTTAGTCAGTGTGGACGGCGTCAGCCTTGGCGCGGAGGCCGCTGGCGGTGGAGCCATTCTGGAAGTAACGGCCAAGGGTGGGGGCGAGGAAAGAGCGGAAGATGGTCTCGGCGCCCCTGTTGACATATAAGCTTGTCTTCTTGAAATTCTGGTAGAGTTGGGAGGCCACTTACTTGAAGGTAGGGAGAGAGAGCCAGAGGAGGAAAACAAACTTGAAGGTGAAGTAGAAGGGGAACCAGTAGACGACGCTGATCAAGCTCTCAATGACGCTATAGCCGTGTGGTTAGATGTTAAGCGCACCAAGTCAACATCAAGCGCAAAGCCAAAGTGGAATGCTTACGTGAAGAGAGAGAAAACAACCCAGTACTGTGAATGCGGTGGTTAGCATTGACACCATAGGCAAAGACCTCATCAGGCATATCCCGACTTACAGTGAGCCACTGGGTATCATCCTGCTTGGAAGCGGTAAAGAGGGCATTGAGCGAGTAGTATCCGGGGAGGACGAAGCCAGCGAGGTTGGTGAGGAGCTGGCCGCCGAGGTTGAAGATGATCAGGAAGAAGTAGAGAGCAACGAGACCGATGACGGCATAAGCCTTGGGAACGCCGGTGGTCTTCTCGAGGTTGTTGAGGGTAGGGTACTTGGACAGCTATTGAGGCAGGTTAGCTACGCAAAGCCCAACGACGCCGTGGCCTAGCCGACATGTCTGCGATCCGGCTGCGGTTTACGCACCTCCTTATCGAGCTGGCCGATGTACTGCTGGGCGCGGTCCTGAGGCGAAGACATTTTGAGTGTTTGGTGCGGTAAGCGAGTCTATCGATCTAGAGCTAGCTGTGATGTTTCGACGTCAGCAAGATGCAAAGTTGAAGTTCAGGGGAAAATCTGAGTCGGAACTGGCGGGGAAGCTGAAGCTGTGACAAAGTGGGTTGGGCAGCCGGGAGGGCTGGGCCTAAAAATCGCAGCGTGCTCGGTGAACACCCGCACCACCGGCAGAGAGAAGAGAAAGGGAAGCTGAGAGAAATTTGCTGACCTGGCTTTCGAATTCACCGAAACGATGCTGTGAAGTGCAATGTGTCGTCTGACCTTTTGCGGATAGGGGTGATGCTATCGTGGAAATGGCAGTTGGAGTGTGGGAACGGGTTGAAGTGGGCTGTGGGCACAACGAACAATGACGATTGATACGTGTGCATTCAAAAGGGGATCATCCTGTTCTCAACCCGAAACTTGCCCTGCCCGTGGGGCCGCAAAGCTTCCTCCCGTTTATCAACTGCATCTGACTGGTTCCAGAACCCAGTGACGCCACATCGGGAGCTGTGTGACTAGGATTGGTGGACGAGAACATGGTCGAGGAACGGCTTGATTGTACAGGTGATAAAAACATTTGATTTTGGCTGAAATTATCAACAGGTCCGATGGTGTAGTTGGTTATCACGTCAGTCTAACACACTGAAGGTCCCCAGATCGAGCCTGGGTCGGATCAACATTCAAGTTCTTTTTTTTGTCCGTTGCACATTCTAACAGTCTCTCATTGGCCTGATGCATCTCCTTCTGTGCCTCGCCTGGGCTGCGAACGGCTCGTTCTTCTCTCCATTTTGATATTCTTCATCATCCTGATATAACCTTCTCTTAACTGTTCATGGATCCACACAAGCAGCTTACCGTTTTGGTCGCTTCTTCCCGCTTCTTGTAAACATTTACCATGGTCAAATGCGGCTAAACTGTATCCGTCCAATCTTCAATTGGGCATGGAGGTACGAAGATTTGGGTAGTAAGGAGAGTGCGTTACTCTCTCGAGGTTGCCTCGCCTGCTCTACTCACTTTGCGCTTTGATCTTTGGGACAGGCGGCCATGACAACTTGTGGACGTTTGAAGTTGAGCATCAGAACTCATGACATGGACCAACATGAAGCTTTTCGAAGCCCCGCGATACCTCTAGCGTTTTCGTGCAATCAGCTCCACCTCATGCGGGTGGGTGTCGGCCGCATGTGCAGCGCGCTTCACATTTACTAAAGAAAAGTGTAATCCTCTGCCAGATGGCTCACCAGGAAAACAACCAGTTTGATCTCTCCAACGTATCTATGACCAATATCATTGAGGGAGAGATCAGTTTCCCCTCGTTCTGCGAGCGGTCAGACGCGAACATGCTTGCCAAGTCAATGCTGGCGCAGTCTCTAGTCTAGTCAACAGAGTGAAGTAAAGTGTTTGTTCTGTGATCTTATGGCGGGATGACAACTCCTGTCAACCAGAAACGCAGCCAGGCATCCAATTCCAGGGCAGTAATTCATGGTGGAACGTCATGGTGTAGTGTACCGGATGTCTGGAGTGACTGGTTCGGAAAAGGCATAGTATGTCGATCAGGCACACATCTAGACTCTAGTGTGTAGCCCAGGAATGGGCAAAACATCAAGGAATTCAGTGGGAGCGGAATGCGCAGGTGTTCTGGTTCGTCAACTGCCCGAATTCCTCGAACAACAAAAGGAAAGTCAACAACAGTCTCGAACAGGCAAACGGCCAATCAAACGGCATTTTGGTCCCAAGCGGGTCTGCATGGAACGTGCGGGGGAGCAGCTAGCTGCCTTTGACTTGCAGTGGTCAAGTTCCCTGCCGCAGCCTCCAGTGGAACGTCGCTGCACGTTGCAGTCACGGCAGCCCGTCCGCAAGGCCGCATTGAGGTACGTTCCTAGCGCTTTCATGTTTTGTTGATTCTTTCTGTTCTCCGCTCCCCCATACAAACCTCCAAACAAAATGTGCGATTGACCATTGCCTGCAGCGTCGACATCGTCATTGAGTCTTCTTACTCGCGCATGCACGGCACTGTTACTCGCGACACGTTCCGCGGTGCGCTCCCGACCCCATATTCGTTACCTTTATTATTAGCCCGGCCTGGCCGTGTTGGCATCCGCCAGGTTTGGAGTACTAGTCGCCGCCACCACCACCACCACCACCACCACCATCTATCCTTGTGTGTACTTGGGATACCCAGCAGAGCTATCAGTCCGCACGCCTCGCCCGCCATACCATCAAAACACGGGCGCTGATGGACTCAACCCACGGTACGCCCCTTCAAGTCTTCTACCGTCTTCTGTTTCCCCCATTCACGACATTGTCATCATCCCATCCTGGCCTTCCCTCGGTCCCCAACGTATCTCGGCGCATACTTGTTACGCGACGCACCATAGCGGTATGCTTACTGCTTGTACAGACCCTCTTACCCTCACGAAGGCGAAAAAGCGGCCTCGCTCTCAAGGCTCAACAGCTTCCATCCACAGCGCCGCTACACAACCAAATCTCGATCACGCGTTTACTGACGTGCCCGAAGTTTACCAATCTCAATGGATTCCAAACGACCACAGCCGAACCCGAGAACTTGGCCACCCGACCGCCCAGATGATACAGGACAACATGGTGCTGGCCTCCCAGTTGCACACTAGCCGCGAGTTCGCCATGGATTCACAGGTCAACGCTTCGATGCAGAACGTTCAATATCATGACAGCCACAGTATGAGCCGCCAGTCTTTGTCCGCCGACTCCTTTGCCGGAAACACCAGTTTTGTGGAGGACAGTCAGATGGTGGACCATGACGGCAACAACGACCACGGTTCCTACATCGGAATGACATCGCAATCCAAGGGAGGGTCACGCTCAAGTGCGAACAACGAAGTGGAAATGCGTCAGCTATATGTCGCCAATAGACACAGGAATCTCCAGGAGGTTGCAGAAGAGCTGCATGGCAACGAACGCGGTCCCCATTCAGAACGAACCCGCCAGGTTTTCGCAATGCTTTGGTACGTTGGTCACATGGGTAAATTTTGTCGAGACTGTGGGCTAACAAGACGACAGGATCAGCCAAGTCTGCTCAAAGGGCAAGGGATCGGTACCCAGAGGGAGGGTTTACGCCAACTACGCCTCCAGGTGTGCCACCGAGAGGATAACAGTCTTGAACCCTGCCAGTTTTGGAAAGCTTGTCCGTGTTCTTTTTCCAGGACTGAAAACTCGTCGCCTTGGTGTTCGAGGAGAGTCAAAATATCATTATGTCAACTTTCAGCTTCGAGAAGACCAGCCTGATGTGCGAGATGTCTCGACTCAACCTCAGGTTTCCCCAGCGGAGGAGCAGTCATTCTCTCAAACTTTCAAGTGAGCAACGACACCTTGACTTGAACGCTTTTTATCCTTGCTAATTCTCCAGTAGCACGGCACCAGACAATACAAGAGCCACCGAACGCCCTGCACTTCCCACGCCTGACCTGGGCCAGCAACCGGAGACCCGGGTGAGGCGGCCACCAGAATATGTTCACAGCCTGTACAACCAAGTCCAGGTAGCCAACATCGACCAGCTCAGCACGACGGCAACCAAGACAGTACAGAAGCTTTGTTTTGCCGCGGAAACCGAAGAGTCGTTCCAGCAGTCCGACCCTCTCGTCCTACCAGGGATCGAGCCATTTCTACCCAAAAATACCGATCCGGACGCTGCCAAGTCGCTGGCTGCGCTCTACAGGTCACACTGTACGTCTCTGGTAGAATGCATCCGGTATTGTAAAGAAAAGACTTTCTTCCACCTTTATACCTCATTCCAGGGTACTCTCACAATGCCGGTCCAGAAGCTTTTCAGCAACCCGGCTGTTGCACCTTGGATAGAGGAGTGCGATTTTGTTCTCTACCAGCGCATGATGCGCATTGTCTCGAGCTTGGTCCTACAAGTGGTTCCCAAGACAGTGCTCGATACGTTGAGAAATATAGCAGACAAGCTCGTCCCACACATTCGCGATTCCTTTCAAGGACAGCCTCCTCACGTTCTCAAGGCCAAAGAAGCACCAGCAACTCTATTCGCAGGCTTACTGGATAGGGTGCTCCGTGTCAACCTTACTGCTCATGCTGCCGCCAACATGCTGTCGAACCCAGCAAACCGCGACCTCATGTACGTGGAATGGATCAACATAATCAACCTAAGAAAGGTTGCCGAAAGTGTTCCGTTGAGGGGCATGGATGATGTTGTGAATCTCCTTCTCAGAGAGATGCGTGACCTCCTAGACCCGGTCAATATTCCATGGGAAATCGAAGGCCTGACGCTACACGGAGAGATGGCAATGCGTAATGGTCGGCAACCCCAGGTAGGAGCCCCCGAGGAATCCACGGCCTCGAACGTTTTGGATCGGTGGGTGAGCTTTCTTCGCTCCCTACCTTCGCACTTCCCCTACGCATCACATACCGATATTGTCTGGTGTGTTCAGCGATTGGGCACAGCCGTAATGAGGGATATTACCCTAGGCCAAGGCAAGAGTTTTGGCTCTTGGTGGGTCACCAAGTGTTTTATCGATGAGATGATTCTCTTTGTGGCAGAATATGGTGGATTTCTCAAGCAAAAGTCGACACACGAGTATACCCTCCTTGTCTCACAGCAACAGGGCGCAAGCATCGAGGCAAGCAACGAGGCATCCAGATATAGAAGTGGAAGCGATGATTCCAGCGCATCTCGAATGTCCGAGTCGCAGCCAGATCGGGCTCGATTTCCGATGCCTGCATCGACGGCTACCCAACCGTCTGTCCACGACGACAGCGGTATAGGTATTCGGACACCCGATGAAGATTCTCCGATTCAAAAGTTTGGCTTCCAAACAACTACTGCGAACTCGCAGGATATTTTTGCCGGCACGGAACTGCAGGATGAGGACCATTTGGCAGATATCTAAGTGCTCCGGTTGGCGACACAATGGGATAGGCTTTTGGGTTCATGCTCGATGTTTTTTCTTATTAGGAAGGGGGGCTTTAGCTGGCGGTTATACCTTGATGAATCTCTTTTTCTTCTACTATTTACATGACGATATGAAGCAATGAGGACAGAGGCTAGGAGGTGCTGGGTTGTGCGGATAAGGCGTCATTCGCCACATGTTCTTATCGTCGGACATCTGGGTCTGGTTTTCTGGGTCGGGGAGTCATGGCTATACCTGGGAAAGAGGAGTGTTTTGTTTGGGACTGGGTGTTCCAACGTTCATGTTCATTGTTACAATGTAGGGATACAGGGAACACCAAAGCATCGGTTTCATCAGCAAAGGATCTAAAAAGAGGAGGCGTTATGCAAGCATTTACGTGTGGAGGTGGCGGGACGGCGTCTATCCATGAAGATACTCGAAATGAGCATTGATTTTTTTCATTTAGTTCGCACAAAAATGTTTGGTCTGTATCTTGTGTGCTTGGTTGTATTTAGATGCGTTGGAATGAAGTCAATTCCTTTGATTCTTGGAGTTTCAAGGCACCGACCACTGAATCATGACGGCCTTTACATAAGGTAGTGATTAAGCTGCAATCTTGGTTGTGGGTGGGCGGGCTTGGCAACTTCTACGTTTCCATGCTTTTGTAGCACGTGAAAGCGTTACGAAAAACACTCACTGCCTGTTTGGGAAATGATCTTATATACGAAACCCCTCCGTTGTCAACAGGCAGATTCTCCGCCCTTTATAATCTTGGAGTCTAACCGGACCATAACCCTCGTATCTCATCGTCCGAGTATACCGGCAACTCCAGCTCGTTTCTCTCCTGGCTGTCGCTCGGACAACCTAGTACTATCGACGACCGGAGTTTTATTCCCGATTCGAACCAATTCTGAAGGCGTTGAAGACCCGGCGAACCACATTTTACAGTAGAAGCGTACAGCATGGCAGTCGAAAAGGAAAGCACTCTCGAGGTCGAGGGTGCATCGTTGTATACTAAATCATGGGAGGTACGTATCACGCAGCTTTCAAGCTTGAGCCGCCGCAACCCTCACTTACACGACAAAAACGCCACACAGCCCGAAGGGCCAATCAAAGCGAAGCTCATCTTCATCCACGGATTCAGCGACCATATCAACCGATACTACGGCTTCTTCCCGTCACTCGCAGCGTGCGGAATCGCCGTTTACGGGTTCGACCAACGCGGCTGGGGACGCAGCGTCAAGAAGCCAGCCGACAGGGGCCTGACCGGGCCAACGTCCAGGGTCATCGCCGACATGGTGGCCTTTATCGAGCCGCACCTGTCTGATGCCCCCGGGGCGCCGCCCGTCTTCATCATGGGCCACTCCATGGGCGGCGGCCAGGTTCTCACGCTTGCCTGCGACGAGCAGTACCAGGACCGTATCGTCAGCCGAGTGCGCGGCTGGCTGCTCGAAAGCCCCTTCATCGGGTTTGCACCCGAGCTGAAACCCGGTTTCATCAAGGTGTACGGCGGCCGATTCGCGAGCAAGATTTTTCCACATCGGCAGATGGTCAACCAGATCCCGCCTGAAGACCTGTCACGCGACCCGGAGGTTCAGAAGAGCATCGCGGCGGATGAGCTGCTCCATAACACCGGGACCTTGGAAGGTTTGTCGGGAATGCTGGACCGCACGGATGGCTTGACGCGGGGAACGATCAGGCCGGTTGGAGGAGAGAATACTAAGATCAAGGCGATCTGGCTTGGCCATGGTTCGAGTGATAAGGCGACAGATTATAATGCCAGCAAGCGGTATTATGATCGTGTTATTGCGAGCACGGTGAAAGATAGAATGTTCAAGCGGTATGAGGGGTGGTTTCATCAGTTGCATGCTGATGGTCCATGTAGTGAGGAGTTCTACAAGGATGTTGGCGATTGGATCTTGGAGAGGAGCGAGGATCCAGATTCGGGGAAGTTTGAGGCCAAGATTTGAAATGGAGTTTGTAAGAGTATATAGGACAAAGACGATATGGACTGCTTGAATTGAGGCTCCTGGGGACTACATAGCATCAGGTTGGTTAGAATCATCTACTATATCTATCCTACAACTTGCGACGACAGATGGTCCATTTTGTGGTGTTGGAGAAGTGCTCTTGGCCCGCCGTTACAAGCACAACATCACTTCTACACCTCGCCAGCCAGCCAACATCGGGATCGCCTCGGCTTAGATCTTGAAACAGGCCGTAACCCTTCCGATTAACCCCGAGTTTGAACTGGGCTTGCCATTCAGCTTGAGAATTAGCCCTAGTGTATAAGTATGTGTAGAGCCCATTCTGACTTTCCCCTTTGCCTCCCCTTTTGCGATCCCTTCGAATCCGACCTTGGCAGTTCGAGTTGCTGTCCACTCCGGTGTGGGTGGTGGCTTCTCGGTTACTGCCCTGAACCCTGATGATGTCCACCATAACCGTTATCAGATCATCCAGTCAAGATGACGACCCTCTTTTCAAGACTCCAAGCCCATACTTGCACACACAGATTTGCATCTGCGCTTTCCCATCAACTACGATGCTGATGGGATCTGGCACCTACCCTTCCAGCATGAGGGCAACGAGTCAAAAATGTCGAATTGACCAACCCGATACGGAAACACAAGGAAACACGATGACGGCGTACCAGCTATCTGAACCCCCCGGGGCAGCCCCGTTGTCCAGGCAAACCGCATGCCGATGCCCCTCTGATATGGAAATGTCGCTCGTGTGCAGGGCAACGCGAGTGGACAATACGTACACAGGACTCAGGTATGGAAGATGCAACGTGTGGAAACGAATGGTTCAGGAGAACTTGTCTTCGCTTCCGATCGCGCCTTGAGCGCCACCTAACAGAGCGATTCACTACCTTACTAATCTACCTCCCGTTGGTTGCTGTGATCAATCGACACAACCGGCTTTCTTTGTTTTCTTTTCCGGGAGGCCTCACCCAACCAACCTCTTATCGGTCAATTGTTGATCGGCCGGCGACTTTCCAATGGACTCAGCCCCCCAGACAGAGCCCCGCCTCCCCTGTAACCAACAAGAATTACTTACCTCTATTGGATCGATGTCGACAAAACTTCCCTTGAGAAATCAGCGCGACTTCCACTTCCGCGACTTGGCAAGCTCAACAAGACTTGTGGCCTCCTATCCACTTACGGGTATAGATTGACCGCCGTCTCATACGACCTTCGGAGGTTCAGCCCTTTGTCCTAGAGGTATATGTTACCCCATGCATCCTTTGCAATTCGTTGCCCTTCACTTGTAAATACCGCGCGTCCTACGTCCTCCGCTCAACACCCCACGCACCAACCGAAACCTTTTTCGAGTTTAGTAGGCCGCGATCTGGTCGAGGCGGCACCTTAACCTTCACCATGGAGCCCGATCTTTCGCACAGCATTTCGCATCACCCGCACGCCTTCAGAACACAATCTCAGTCGGCAAGCTCGATATCGCTCCCGCATACACATTCCCATCATCGACACCACCACCATCACCATAATCATCAGCATCAGATGGGCGGGTCTGAAGCAGCAGCCAGTAGTACCGGATGTGAAGCTACGGATGGAGACGACCACGGCGTAACCAGGCACCGCGACGTCGAAGTGGAGAGCCAGCGAACCGGCCGCCTCCCGCTCGTCAGCGCTGAGCACGATCCCTACGGGCTATCGCAGCGATACAAGACCCCCTCGGAGCTAGCAGCCATCAAGGCAAACACGTCTAGGAAGCGCGATGCCGCTCGGTCCGACTCCGATTCCGCGGGCGCTGCCAGCACGGGCATGGGTGGGACTTTAGGGTCCGGGCCCGGCTCCAAGGGACACGGACACGGGTCAAAGTGGAGACCGCCCATGGGCCGCTCTGCTTTGCAAGCCCGCCGCGTCCGGGGCTTCTACGAGGCCCAGAACGAGACCATCGAGCGCATGCTCAAGAGCGTGGAAGAGCATGTCGCCGAGGCGCGCCAGGAGCAGGGAGATGATCACCTGAAGTTCCAGATTGCAGTCTGGGGCTCGCTGGTCGCCAACGTCATTCTGACGGTGCTCCAACTCTACGCAGCCATTTCTTCGGGTTCGCTTTCGCTCTTCACCACCATGGCGGACGCCATCTTTGACCCGCTCAGCAACGTGACTTTGATCCTGACCAACCGGGCCGTGAAACGGGTTGACCCTGCCCGTTTCCCTTCGGGCAAGGCCCGGCTCGAGACGGTTGGCAACATCACCTTCTGCTTTATCATGACGGCCGTCTCAGTCGTGCTCATTGCTTTCAGCGCGCAGGACCTGGCGAAGCACGACAAGGAGGCGGGTACCAAGGATTTTCATCTGCCCTCGGTTATCGCCGTGTGCGTCGCCTTCGCCACCAAGTTCTCGCTCTTTCTGTATACCTGGTCGCTGAAAGACAAGTACAGCCAGGTGCGCATCCTCTGGCAGGATCATCGCAACGATCTGCTCGTCAACGGCTTTGGTATCCTCACCTCGGTCGGCGGCGCCAAGCTGGTGTGGTGGCTCGACCCGGCAGGCGCCATTTTCTTGAGCGTGATTATCACGGCCATCTGGCTGCGCACCGCCTTCACCGAGTTCCTGTTGTTGGTGGGCGTTACGGCCAGCGTGGAGATCCAGCAACTGATTACCTATGTGTGCGTTACGCACTCGCCCTTAATCAAGCAGATCGATACGGTGAGGGCATACCACTCGGGCCCGAGGCTGATTGCGGAGGTCGATGTGGTCATGGACCCGGATGCAAGCCTGATGGAGACGCATGATGTCGCGGAGGAGTTACAGATGAAGCTGGAGAGCTTGCCGGATGTGGAGAGGGCGTATGTCCATGTTGATTACGAGACTACGCATAAGCCGGAGCATGCTTACAAAAAGGACTTGTAGGTGTTTGGTTTGGTCTTGTGTATGAAGGTGAGCTTGGGCACCGCTGTTTGTTGTTCTAGTAATGAAGAGCGTGACGATGCTCACGTTGGGCTACTTTAACGATCATTGACATATATGTTCTGAGATGTAATGGGTTATCATGTATTACTGCTTGTCGAATACCATCTACTCACTTCTGATACCTTCATGGCTGCTGCCGAGTGTCCTTCATGTAATTCGCCGTCGTCTTTGCTCCCCTCTCCTTGCGAATCGTTGTTGGTTGTTAGTGAAGAGCCATGGCTCGTCGGCCTGTTGGATGTCCTTATTGTGAACTGAAATCGAAAGAGATGAAAATTGTGCTGCGAGTCAGATGGCTCAGCCATAACAACACGAGCTGTTTGCAAAACAAAA